GTCTTTATTTAAGAAAGATTTTCTTCTTGCTGCTTTTTTCTTTTTCCTTGCATATTTGGGGAAAGATACCCTTCCCCCAGCCAGGAAATAGCCATTTTGAGGTAAGACCTTAAAATTGATGATTTTGAAAGTTTTCCCTATTGCCATGCTGTTCTGCTCCTGCATTCCTGTGGTGCCAACAGATGAAGTTGTAAGCCTGCTGGCCTCCCTGCATCTAATCCTGATACTACTCAGCAGCAGGGAAGGTGGGCAAATGTTCACTAGCAGTTGTTGGCAAAGAAACACAGCAGGATTTAAACTGGATGACGCCACTGCATGTGTAAAACAACCATTTGAGCAAAGGCTGCTAGAGTAGCATCTTTAACCAGTAAAACAGAACTGTGTATTAACCTTTTGCTTCCTAGCTAACTGCATTGATGAGTTATGATTAATTATAGTTATGGGGTTTTTTTTAAAACAAACCCCTAAGTTTATTGATAAAAAAAAAAGATAAATGCCTGTAGCATTTGCTGTTACAGACTCTTATATGTGACCACGCTAACAAAAATAAGTTGCAAAAGCCAAATGGGAATAAGGTTCTCTTGCATCCTGGTAAAATGTTCCCAAGGTCATTTTTCCCATGATCTTCCTTCTCTTCCTTTCCAGCTTGCACAGTCTGGTCTTTAATTGATGTGCCCCAACCCCAGATGTTTCACGGTTTAACCATGGTTGTTTTATAGCATTCTAGGACTGTTACAAATGGGGAGGACTATAACAGTAATTTGCCATGCTTATCCACTATTCCAAAGCTAGATCTCAGTCACCTACTGTGTCATCAAAATAACTGGTCAACACCATCCCAGTAACTGCTTTTCCCCAGGCTCTCGGGTTTCCTTGCTTCTGTTGTTCATACAGACCGTAAGAGCTCCTTCTCCTTCAAACTGAATTCCATCATTCTTTAAAGTTATCAGTTTGGTATCTGAGAAATATAACCTGAAATAACTTGATATATCAGCTAACGATGCACCCAGTGTTGGGAGTGGGAATGAACTTTTTCCTGCCCTTCCTCAAAGATGATAGGAAAAGATGGATCACATGGACAACCACAATTCTCTACACGATTAGCTACTGCAATTCATAAGGCCATGCTTAACTGAGGAAATTTCTTTTCAGTAATGCTGCTACCTACCTGGTCCCTTTAACTGTAGCAGGACTTTCCTATAAGGAAATGTATGCAAGAGCATTTTTTTATCTGTGTACTATCTCCCCAGATCTCCTAGCCATGCAGTAAGTCCTGAGCACAGGATGTTATCTCTCCTTTTATTTGGCCGAGTTCCACCATTCCACATTTAAATCATCTGTGTTAGTGCTGGATCAAGCACCTTGAATAAGAAAGTGGTAAAAGCTTGGAGAGTCAGTAAAAACCTTAATGGGATCCTGGGCAAGAGTGCAGTGCTAAATGGCAGGCCAAGCAGATGCATCAGAAATCTCCTTTTCTAAAGGAAAGTGGTTTTAATAATTTTACTTCAAGTCAGCCAATGATCTACACTAGGTGGAATACTGAACAGCTCTGGCCTTACAGGCTGAAAAATCACATACTTGAAAATCAGGTTGATGGGAGGCAGCAGGTCTGTAACATCCATCACCATTCTCCCTTCAGAGGGCAGCTCTTTGTAGAACTGCCATCATCTTTCCCACATTGCCCAAATGTCAGCTGACACCACCAAACCTACAAAGCTACCAGACAGTGATGGTGGTTGATACTACAAGAGCAGCAGCTGTTGCAGAGTGAAGCTCTATTCCACTTACCCATACACAGAATAGAACACACACACGCTCAAAGATTTATCCGCTTGGCTAGGAAATGCATGTAGGGTAGTGGACTCTGCGAGGCGGTGTAGTAAGAAACATGCCTTTTGTGAAGGGACTTGGAAGCAGTACAATGAAACTCAGAAGGCTACAATAGTACAGCTGTGGACAGTTTTTCACTTTCATCTAGCAGAAACCATTTTTTATTTTTTCCAGTGTTTTGTGAGAACAAAACAGTTTTGAAGCAGAAAGATCAGAAGCAAAACTGAGTTGGACAGAGACAGTCGCTCCACTGGGACCTTGCAGGGGAACATGAAACACTTTTTCCAGGGAGACCTTTGCACTTAATTTTAGCTGTGCACCCAAGCCTAGGTCGGCAAAGGATCAGAAGAACCATAACATTTCAAAATTGCATCCCTTAAATGGAGACAAGCTGGGAAAATATTTGTTGAACAATGAAGTACATTCTCCTGCTACATCTGCACTACCTGACAGTGCATGCATTTCAGCTGGGTAAAATCGGCCCCAGAACTGAACCTCAAGCCTTCAAAAATTAAACCAGTTCCCCAATCATGGGGATTTTGCTTAAATACAAATTTGTATTTGGCTTTGGATTTTTAAGCTTTAGAGTTCAAATCTGTTCTCTCACTGTAACTCACAGAAGCTTGGGTTTCATTCCATTGTGTTTATTTTTTAAGTTCAATTCTCATGACTTTGAAAGCTCTCTAAAGGTCAGATGGAGAGAAGTACCAGACATTGCCACAATTGCCTGCAGTGTAATGCAGTCATTTCATATTGTTTTAAAGCTTTCCAAAAATCATCTCAACTCTTTCTCTCCATCTTACAGAATGTGATTAAAGGCGTGGGTTATGTTTCAGAGGAAACAGAAAGCCAGACAATGCCTTTGCCATTAGATGTGGTGCAGGCTCTGGGTGATGTGGTGAAAGAGCTGTTGAAGCCCTATCATAGCTCCTGTCTTCAGGGTAGTGGCATCCACTCTTGGACACAGCTATTGTGCATTGGGGCAGGTTGTTTAGCCTTGTATTTATTTAATCTTTGTGAAGATAAAGAGGGATGTTCCACTGAGAGCTCTTTTGTTTCACTCTCTATCAGTTCAATAGGAGAGAGAGCAGATCTAAAGCCACAAGCAATGGTTTGTAAGTCTTCTAAAGCCTTGTCATCATATGCTGTATTATGTTGTCTTTTTTACTGAGTGACCATTGCTCTATTGTACACTATCTGCCTTTTTGCGACTTGATGAACCACATTGTAAAAGGTAGAAATCAATAAAGTTCTCCAGAAACCAAAACCACCGAGGGAAAAATGTTTTCCTGCAGCACCATCTTGTGGTCCCTGATTTTAGTACTGAAGGTGTCTCTCCCTGGGCCTGGAAGGTGGAAGGTCTGCTGTGCAGACTTGGGAACCGCACCCAGCCCTGAGTAGCTTCTTTTGCTAGCCACAAAGGCACTGTGAGGAGTCTCATAAGAATGCTTGTGCGTTCTTCTAGCTCACCCAGGCCCTAATCAAGATCTCTGAAGGGACAGAAAGGACAAAGGAAAATTGAGTTTAGCTCAGCAACATGCAGCTTGGTATACAAGATACGCACCAGGAGTTTAGGCGTGGGGAAAAAGACATGTTCCAGGTACATCTCGGGTAACCCCATGCTGAAGCTGTTCTGTAGCATGCTAAGGTCCAGCAGTACAAAAACGAACAAACAAAAAATTGTTATCAAAGGGATCTGAATATTTAGTAGTGGAAGTAAGCAGTCGATCACAGTGGATCAAAACATCCACGTTTCTGTGACAATGTCAGTACAGTTAGCATCACACACAGGCCTGTGAATGACTGTCTCTGATTTGACTGTAAGGTGATGATCTTGACCTTCGATAACAATGAAATAGCTATTATGACATTTTAGGTACAGATAAGTTATTTATGCAATACCCATGCATGACAGCTATTGGTTCAATGAACTGTCAAGGTACTACAGAAATTAAAATTTAAAATCAGAGCTTTTGTCTCCTCCCAACTGAAAAACAAAACTTCCAGCTTTTTAGAACATCTTTACAACAAAGCTGCTACATGGAAAAGGGACAGGGCCCAAATCCATGCACTGCACTCTTGACTACTGTCCTATTAGGGGGAATACAACCCTTGCTGTGTCACTTTCATCTCACCTCCTCCTCTTACAGCGCATATATTTTGTTTATGCTTATCTTGTTCTGGTGCTGCCAGATACGGTTACTGCAGATGCACTGATTGCTTACTGTTAAATACAGTTGTTTTATCAGTATGTGTCCCTTTGTCAGAATGTTAGGTGACATTGAAAGCACTTGTGCTGTCAATGACATGGAAACAGAAGGAATTTATTACCCTTCAAATCAAAACCATAAAGCACCGTGTGAAAGCCTAGCTTCCTTCAGAGCACAGCTCACTCTCTATAATCACCATCAGCCATGAGGATCTATGTGGTTTGTCACATGCACATTTCAGCTGTGACAATGCCCCTAAATTCATGTAGCAGGAAACTGTTTTTATCGTTGTCAAAATGTCTATATACATACTTCACCATTCATAAAAATAATATCAAGAAATAGCAAATACACGTCAGATTTCGAAGGCAAACAGAGCCCTATTCAGTCTCCATCATTCTGCTGCTCCACATAAAAAAAAAATCATAACTTTTGCTTACAAAATTATAACCAAATCATCTGTAATACAATGCTACTGTCAATGGTTGCAACATCAGACTTTGAAGCTCCTGCATATAGTTATGTCTGACCATCAGTAAGTACTCCCACAATTTCATGAGACTGTCCATATGCGTATTCCACCCCATTATACTTGGATTTTAAGCAATGCCTTTTTTAGAAATGATGAAACTAAGAAAAATTTATTAAATGGGAAGTCCTGAAAGTACGCATTGTTTCTTAGAATCACTCATAATATTTATTCTCTCTTCAATTTAGGAGCAAAGCTTCATTCCTTCCAGTTGTAGCTCTTGGCAATCCTGCTACGTGGACTTCACAGACCCAAAGAAAAATGACCAGTGATTGCATTATTATGGGTGATACCAATTTCTGCTGAGATTCTTTTAGGTTCTCACTCTTTCTTTGCACTCAGCTGCTGAAAACTGTTACACATTTGTTTCTTTTGTTTTTGTTACACTACAGGGAAACGGAAAGAAATTGCATTTTGAAATCACCCACCTTGGGAGACAGGCCATCCCAAGATCAAAGAAAGTTCTGTGATGCAGTGTTATACTGCGGAGAGAAACGCTACCAGAGTTACCTCAAGCACTTTGTATTTTGTCCAAGCATATCTTCAAAGCAACTGCCCAAGAACAGATTTCCCAAATCCTCTGCAGCCCAGTAGAGAATTAGCCGTTCTCCTCAGTAAGAGTAGCACTACTGTGCTATGGTGCCATCTAATACTGAAACAGCATAAGCTTCCCACTCGCTACCAATTTAATTCACAACACCGCTCTCTTAATCCAGATAATATTCTAACAGTGACCTCTAAACTGAGACAGGCACTTAGCTGGTATCTTGATATCCCTCCACATGGATGCTATACTAATAGGAGAAGACTGGCTTTATTATTCAGGAGTTGCCATAAGCAGTTTTGCCTTTCAGTGTTACTAGGGTTTTTTTGTACAGGAGACATGGAATGTGCACGAAGAACTAGAAATGAAGACCTTCTATTGTAAAATCAATAGCTCTGTCAAGGGTTGACAACATTGTATTACTTTGATACTAAAACAAAACATCTCATTTTCTAGGGTATACTCAAGTAATCCTGATGTCCTTCTGCTTGAGGTCTTCAAGATGGATGTTACTCTACACCAAAGGGAAAAAAAAATACTAAACATCAATATAACTAGATTTAAGGACATCTTTACATTTTTGCCAAATCAATACTCTCCCTAAAATATCCCATTATTGTCCAATGACCTCACTGACACTTTTTATTTCCTTGTCACCTTTAGTAGGCTATAGTTTAGCATGCTCATGTGGAGTAAAACAGCATCGAATTCTCAGATTACATTTATTTCAGTAGTCAATTGCTCTTCAGCGTTGAGGAAGAATGCCAAGACATGGAGCTATGTAAACATGTCAGCTGTAGAACACCCCTATCCATACAGAAGGGCAGATTTCTCAGTGCTTGTAAATGGATCTGCATATCCTGAAAGCAACAAAACCTTACTTTGCTTTTCCACTTTCCCATGCAACAGTTTGCACATGGGATAAGGAACTGTGAAATGGCAGAGGACTTAAACCTAGGACTGTAATATTGTCCATGGCTTGCTCTGCTATAATTTAGCATCCCAGCACAGCAATCAGATTCTTGCAGACTCTTTACTTCTCCCACGACAGAAATTGAAGGTGACCCCAGAAAAACAGTGCCTTTTGACAGAGTCTACTGGACTGGGAAGCAACAGGCATTTAGTACTACATATGTTTAGCTTTCTATAGAATATTGATATAAGATAACAATCCTAAACTCAAAGAACAAAAGAATATTCCAAGGTTAGTTTACCTTTTTTTATTCTTCTGGTCCTTAGGAGCCTTTCTTCCAGTCAATCCAGTAAAAGGCCATAAGCTTCTTCATTATGTGCTCTTTTCTTCTGCACAATTTGCTCTACTTCCTTGTTTGCCTTTCGTAAAGGATTGATGCATTGACTGCAACATATTAAAACAACAGCTGAAATTGGTTGACTTCTAAAGAAGGAATTTAGAGAAGATCACCTAGACTTTAGCCATGAAATCCTAGCTCCAGTGTGTGTGTGTGGGTGGGGAGAATCAAATGCAAAGCTACACAGTTGATTTCAGGGGCCACCACAAGATTTCATAACTAGAACACGGACAGATCAAGGCTAGGAAAAGCATTTCATTAAGCTTTTCATATCTCTTACATTTTCTTAATGATTTCAGCTCACCTTCTGATTAATGTAATGCCACCATGACCAGAAATTTCCCCAGGAACTAGTCAACTAAATTCTATGGCCTGCTTCCCACAGCTGTACTAGGAATTCAGCAGAAGGAAATGAAGACTTCTAATTTTTACTCTATTTTAAAAATCTACACAGTATTATTCAAATATAGCAGTAGTTAGGTGCACCTGCATTTTCCTAACCTCTACTGTCTTAACCTACCCATCACTGCATGTGGTTGTTAATGAAGACTAAAAAAACTGAGAGAAATAAGATAGGATATCACAGTTATGGACATAGCAAAAGCATCAGAGAACACTGCTCAAGAAAAGAGGGATTATGTTGGTAGCACACGAGACAAACTGTCAATTACCAGGGAACGGGCACACGTAAATTCTGCTTCCTGCATGAAAAATACCACTGGAAGCAGGCAAATACCCAGTTCATCAGTGGGGATGTGGAAGTAACAAAGCCTCACTGACTTGGAAAATTATTAGTGCTGATCAAGCGTGGCAAGCGGAGTCCTCCTCAGTTCCGTCTATCAGTTTTACAGGAATTCCATACTCCTACGTATTCTTAGTCTGGCCACATTACGGAATTACCTCTGCGGTCCTAGTCCTGGGCATCTCTTGACAAACAGCCACTCCTAGCTACATAGTATGAGTGCCTGCAAAAGCTTTCCAGGGCTTGTTGCCCAGGTTTGCATGCACTCTCTCTTTTTTTTTTTTTTTTTAATATAAATACAGACTCCTGTGGGAAGCCTTGGAATTTGCTCTAGAAGAAGCACAGTGGAACTAATACATTATTTCAAATTTCATCAGCAAAAGCCCTCTTATTTTTTGATAAATCTAGAGAACAATTTTTATTTCTGTGCACATCCACTGCAGTACAGTTTTGGCATTGTACATAGGACCCTCTCAACAATGACCATACAATGTTGAAAACAAAAGAATTTCCATCCAGAAAGAAGGTTTTAGGCTCATTAAAGGAGTACTTTTCAAAGCCATATACTCTGTCAAACATCTCTAAAACTAGTAAAACTCAAAGTTACAATGTTATAGAATTGTTCCTTTCCTAGAACTCGAATATATGATGTTGGAAATTAAAACCATTTAGCATCTGGTTAACCACTGCATTAAAAAACAAAGCAAAAAACAAGCCATAGCAGAACAGCAATATTCCCAGTTTCACTGGCTATGAAAAAAACACAGAAATGATCATTTAAACATTAATGTGAATTCTCTCAAAATGAACACATATTAATTCATTTTCCAGAAAATTTATGATAATTTCATGTTAATTCTTTGCCTCCTGTTTTCAGAGTCACTGATGACTCAGTGCAGCTATCTGTATGCTGAACATCAGCTGTTGAGCACAGTGTAAGATGTAATGTGGAGATTTTCACAGCAGGCTTTGTCTAAATGTGGAACTCCATAGCAAATAGCCATCTGCTAAGCAGCCGCATTAGTAAAGTCTGTGTGTGTGTGTGTATATGAACCCACACAGACTAATATCTTAGTAAAGCGAAAGTTTAACGCTTAGGGAAAAAAAAAATATTGTCACAAAAAAGGACAATTCTGTCATATTAACCAAGCTATAGAATTAGCCATTCAATATGAACTACCATCTTAGAAAAATAAACTGCAGTTATGTCAATACATTCCATCTTAGTTTAATGATTTTGATATTGTGGAGCTTGCATTTTCCCATTATCATAAGAACACATACACATGCTGAAACTCTTCACAACATCAAACACTAAACTGCTTGCATAGCACTCACAGGCTGTAAGGTGCCCTATACCTTAAAAAAAAAAAAAAAAAAAGCACTGCACATTAGAAGCATTAGAGATAATTAATTCACTTGTCTCTCAAGCACATGCCCAGCCCATCTCTCTTACTTGATTCAGGCCTACTACTGTGTTCTTTCCTTCTGCCTTACTGCATAACTCTAGGACACAATTCTACTTGTTCTTTACAAACCGCTCATTCATTCCTTCCCTGTTATTCTTCAGATAAGCCAAGTGCTTACCATGGGCAACATCACTCTTTTGTAGAAGTGCCTTTGAAGGCAGTGGTAAAAGAACCATTTTTGTTTCACTTCTCCCTATGATATTTGAGAGCTAAGGCAACTGGCAGGAAGTTTTCTCACTTATTTCTGTTTAAACTTACGTTACACAAAGTAAAATTAACTTTTCCTCAAAATTTTCCTTTCCTTTTTTATTGATGTTTTGGGTTTTCTTTGCATTCAGGACACTGTGCCCTAAAAACCTATTCTGGGTGGAACAGGATGGGCTGTCTCCAGTGTTGCCGGCTGCCTGATAGCTTGATTTGTTCTTAAGTCTCATTTCCACCCTATTTGCTCACAACTGACAGTTGTTGGTGATGCTTTCCTGCTAAAGAAGAGACGGATTGAAACCAAGTTCCTTTAACGTATACGGATATACTGGCCTTTGGTGGGGAGCAGGGGCAGAAAGTTGGGGAAGATAACTGGAGAGTCAAGGGAGCAAAAGCCTGGTCTTCCATAGCTCAGGATATCCACCCAGGAGAAGATACGCTTCCTGTGGAGCTGAACTCAAGTTCATGCACCACTGCTCAAGCTCATTCAGGGGTTTATGTGCAGGATTATTTTCTAACCTGCAGGCAGTGTGCCTTCACTTTTTACCTGCCATTTCCTAAGCAAGGGAAGTAACATTAAGTTCAAGTCCTTTATAACTGGGTCTTTAGAAAGTACTGGGGCATTAACAAACTGTCTTTCCTTAAGCCAAATTGACTCTGTTTTATGTAGTTTCAAAATAGAAGGGTCCATTTTTTATGTTTGCACATTAGTTTCTTGCCTTTTTTTCCAGTCTTTTCTCCCCTCACTGACTTCAAACATGTCAGTTGTCCATATTTTCTATGTTAGTAGCAGTACATCATAAATTTGGTCTGATCATGCTCTAACGCTTACCTTCTCTGCAAACAGGCAGAGCAACAGAGTGGTAGACACCCCAAAATAAAAAATCCTCCTGCTGCAAGCACAAGCAGTCGAAATGTCAGTTGCATATCTGTAGATTCAGCAGAAGTTTGCATTAGTTATGAACCATTCTGAGATATATATTGAGGGATAGATGACAGAGATCAGCCTCTAAGACAGACATGTATATATCTCAGCCAAGCAACGCAATGGAAAAAAGTAGCTGTTAGAAGTGAGCTCAGATGAGAAAGATCAAGTCTCATATTTGACCTGAGTTCAACTAGCCCAACTGTTTGGTTAGTTTCCGAAGCAACTGGGGTTTGAGTGCACCCAGGGCACGGGGACAAAACAAAACCAAAAAAGAAAAAAAAAAAATCCAAAAAAGAAAAAAGAAAAAAAAAACAAGAAAGAAAAAACCCAAAGTCCTTTAGAAGCTTAAGAATGGAGACAAAAAACCACGCAAATGAGTGCTATTTATCTATTTCAGTTCATAACTTTTGCAGCATTTTCTTAAAGCCTTGTTTTATTCCTAGTGAACTCCCAGGTAAGAACCATACAAGCACGTGGCCTGTGAGCACCTTACAGAAACGCAAGTGCCATGAGTCTAATATCTGCTAAGTGCTTCTATTTTGTCAACAGATTGCTACAAGGCAAACAGTATGTGCTCCCAGGGCAGTCACCGTTTGTATTTTCTTTGGACATGTGTTGTACTTCCAGGACCATTCAAGCAGCTAATTAATCTACGAACAAATAATTCTGTAAAATAGTCAGCCCTTGCTATTTACTTCCAAACAATAAAAGCTTAACTGGAATGAGGAGTCAAGCAGTCACAGCTGAATAAGCATATTTAATTTTAACATTTGCTTGAGCATGTGTCCTAAAAATGAGCAGAAGAGCTATAATTTTCACTGTACAGCTTTTCTTCTCACTATAATGAAATGTCTTTTTTACATAATATAAAGGCCCAAGTGGGGAATGAATATTATTAAAACATTTTATTTCTGCAGTAGGCCCCTAGCTAACAAACAGATTCTGATGGCCTCATGCTGCACAGTACTTTCTTCTATTAAAAGTTATCCAGCTAGCAGTAATTACAGCTGCCTTAGCACTGGAATGTGGGGCTGCTCAACTACAAGAAAAATGTCAAAGTTTGATCCTAACCTCTGCTTCCTTCTTCAAACAGCAAGTGAATTCATGTTAGCTTACCAATATTCCCTTGGGGTTTCATATATGTATTAAGTCAGCTCTTCCTGAAAATTGGGTATCATCTCTGAAATCAATGGGGGCATGCTGAATTATATCAGGAGGACCCAAACTGTGAAGCTCTCAATTATGGTTTCCTTTTATCAACTTAACATACATGTTTGGCAAGATTGCCTAAGTCTGAGAACTCTTTCTGCTTCATTGTTGGTGAAAGAAAGGATATAACGTAACAGGAATTGCTGTGCTAGGAACAGAGCCAAATATTACCATGGTTTTTCTATTTAAGTCTATGATGAGTCTCCAAATACCACTCCAGTATCTTGACATTGTTCTTGACAGAAAACCATGAGATATGTGTCTAGTGTCAGGGCATGAGGCAAAGGACAGAAATTAAGGTGCAAGAATCCATCTGAGCATAAGGGGTTTTTTTGTTAGTTTTGTTTGTTTGTGTGTCACATCACTTGCTCTTTGCTTGTGCTGGGGTTGACAAGATATCCAGACAATTCTTTATCAATTAATTATTTTCTGTACTAATATATACACAGAAATAAAGGCAAGCTTACACTTATTTTGAACAGAGTGTTGACCTGAAATACCTCAAGGAAGTAACAGAAATGAAAAGCATGCTGTCTGACCAGAAACAGTGTTTGGCTGTGATCTACAGAAGTATACTTACTGTCTTTAAATGGCATGTAACATTCCAGTTCATGGCTGGTTTTGGAAGGACAACACTTATTTTTCAAGCATTCGGTTGTGTTAAGGCCCTTTCCTTCATGACAAGGAGTTAAGGTTTGTTTGTCTTTGAGACGGCATGCTTTAAAAAAAAAAAAAAAAAAAGAAATAATATGAAAGATTTATATTTTACGAGCAATGCTCAAGTAGAGGGAATTTATCATTTTGGTGTTCCTAGTATGTTTTAATAGGGTAATCTGCCAGAAAACCATATCATTGACTTTTATGTATGTTCTTTCCCCAAAACTAATCAATCTTTATACTAATAGAAAAGCTAAAATTATGGCATAGAAAATCTTAAGTAATTTGCTTTGTTTCAGTAAGATTTACAAAAGCAAATCTAAACACCATTGTGCCACCATTTTTGTACTTAGGTTTGTAAAGTAAGTGGGAAAGACACTATATTTTCTGACTGGATTGTTTCCAGTTAAAAAAATAAACCAGAAATTTAAGATTTTTTTTTTTTAAGGGCCCAGCATAGAATATATTTAAACTAACCATCTCTGTTTGGCACTAACTGCATGTGTCTACAAGCAGCTGAAAATCAGCTGATAGGAACAAACACCCAAGACATCCAATCCAGTTACTGAACATAATATTTAAGCGATTTTAAAAAAATTGCTATTTAATAACAGATTTATTGATAACCACAAGATCCTCTGTAGGAAGGGCTTAAATGTGTAAATTAGTCATAACAAGTACATGTTTCCATATGTTTAATTCCTGTAAAACTTGGTATTGCATCCCTTACGTGACACTTTCACATCAGCTGCAAAGCACCATTTGGTTCCAGCAACGCTCCCGAGATCGGTCTCATGTTTATCATAGACACTACCGGTAGCCAAATTCTGTTTATTAAATGGAGGTATCAGGCACTTCACAAGACTTCTGTGTTGACTGAGGGCTAAATGGGAGCAATAGCAGTGGAGGTACACTGGTATTAAGGTAACGCAGAAACATACCAAGTGAAAAGGGGTATTTCTGCTTCTCCTCTCCCTTTGGTCTGTGACCCAATTATGGAACCAGGCTTGCAATTTCTGTAAATGCCAAGCCCTTTCTGTATTCATAGATATTATCTTTCTTATTGAAATTAGCAAATTAGCATTGCTATTTCCTTCTCAATAATTTTATAAATTAATGTTGTTGTCATTAACTGCAGCAGTCCAAGAGGTGAGTGGTTCAGTCTAAGCTGACTGCCCTGGAGTCTTCCCTGGCCAGCAGAAGTGTAAGACAAAACTACTGTGGGGCAAAATCCTTCTCTCGCTTAGGATGTGCTAAATTGCTCTTTTCTTTCTATGCGTACATGGGAAGATGAGAAAATTAGTTCAGATCAGATACAACAAAGCTAGGCACGGTGCATCCTACACCAAATTGTCTGGCATTTCTAGCAGAATCATCACTGACGACGAAGGGTTTTGCAGGAGGGTAGTAATGCAGTGGAAGCAAATTTATTATTGTTCCGAAGGGGCATTTAACAATACCATTTTTAAGAGACCTAAGGAGTTCTAAAGCATCACATCGAGGGTTTTAAATACACCAAATGCTGACAGGTAGTGCTGGGAGGGAGGACTGGAAATGAGGCAGAAGAAGGGGAAAGGAAGAGAGAAACAACGCTGCAGCAATGAAGTGACACTTACTCACTGGCCTGAAGAAGCTTAAGACACCTTCATATACATTTTTCAATGTCACGTTAAGATTGCCGAGTGCCACATCACTTTTTTCTAAAACATGCTGAGTTGGTGATGCAAAACCTGAAAACTCATAATGATTAGTTCACTACCATCAAAATATCCTTAATTAATTAAATGCAATGACATTTTCATACTGATTATCTTTCATTATGAAGGCATTTAGAGTCATTATGAATTGTGATTACTGATGGTTAGCAAGGTTAAGCACAGATGTCTTTCTGTTGTATTCACTTATATTACTTCAAATTGCTTCACGAACCACAGAAGTAGAGAACTAAAGCTGTGAAATTTAAATTAAAGAATCCATTTAGGTGGAGAGTCAAGATAAAAAGCCCTACTGTTCACCTATAAGGTGCAGGTTACATGAAAACTCTGTGTTGTACCTATAGATGTATTTCTCTTATGTATGCAAGCAGAACTTTCAGCCTTTGATGTAGATAAAGTTCAGACCCCAGCTGAAACACAGAAACGTGGTGAAAAGCAGCTTTATGTGATACAACCAAACCTGGTCTTGTTTCAGACAGTGACCTACAGCAACTGTGTAGAAAAGAGCAAAACACCCCTGACTATAGAGGTACTGGAGTATTTTCCCAAACCCTAGTGATTGCGGCTCTGAGGCTTCTCCATCACCTTTCATTTACACTACTCTAAAAAATGTGGCATCAGCAAACCTTGCTGCCTCACTACATCTCTTTTTCATTAAAACAAAAGTGCAAATCGCAGTGGGGCTCCACTGGCCATCAACCACTCCACAATGAGAGGGAGAAAGAAACCCAGTATTCCTATTTGCTTGCCTTTTTTCTCTCCATACGAGAAACTTACACCATCACAACTTTAATAGCTTTCAGTGATGGAGTTTATTGAAAACCATTTCATAGTTCCTTGTGAACAGAAGTGAGATCAAGGCCTAACCAAAACCTAAGGTATTGAACAACTTCCGTCTTTTAGATGATTCTTCAGCTAGCAGCACCACGAGCATAAATTCTGTTTGTCCTGGGGCACAACTTGCCTCTTCCGTGCCATACAGAACACCCTTGGGAAAAAGCAGCATCAGAGTAGGGAGAATTGAACCTACGTCAAAACACAATCTGAACCTAACGTATAACGGAAACGTGACCAGCAACGTTCTCGCTAACAGTTAGGCCATGGTCCCCCCTCCCTGCCAATGGCCAAGACAGAAGAACAGAAAACTTTAAAGATTTTGTAATGATTTCACAGGAATTTCATGAAATGAGGTATCTGACAATCAGTTTAGTAAGAATTATCTGAAAATATGACCATGGCTGTCCTACATTACTTGCTCTTATGAGAGGTAAAGAGACACAAGCCATATATGTAGGTTTAATGGGCACTGTCAATATAAGCTGCATCATGTACTTAGGAATCACAGTTTACATCTATGTTAGAGCTCACAGACACACACACCCCCCAGAAAAATGTTTTTGCTTGGGTTTGGGGTTTTGTTGTTGTTGGGTTTGGGGGTTTTTTTTTTTGGTTCTTTTTTTTCCTGACAGAGCAACTTCCTCACCTAGATATTGCAGAAGCATTTTACAATGACACTTGCAGCAACTGACAGCCTTTCACCAAGATCTGAAAAGGTAATCTCTGAAGTGTGGTTTCTCAATGCATAAAGGATCAAATGCAAGTGTAATGTGTGGGCTGATCCTTTACACACACGTCAGACGACCAAATATAACTTCTGGTGTGAGTGAAAATTATCAGCCAAAAATCTTTCCTAACTAATTTGAGCCACCTGCTGCAGCAAGCAAATATACCATATCTCAACAGATTATAAGCACACCTTTAACTGTATGCTGGAAAAAACCCCCAAACAGTCCAAGTGGGGAAAATATCCACAATCACAGGTAAAATAAAAGCAAGATACACTACCGGTGATGAAACAAGCAGCATGTGTTTCTCACATAGCTGCACAAAGAGCCAAATGGGAACTATAGTTGGGGGGAAAAAAATGTTTTGCTGTATTTAATTGTCAGGACTCATCAATCCCATCTGGAGTAATTAACTGTTTGTAATATTTTTCAATCATTATCAAGACAAAAAAATTGTAAACTTAGTTTCTTGCTAGTAAAAATACTTGTGGCTTCTATGAAAATGCTTTTTTCCTTGCAATACTCACTTGAATCGATGCTGTAAAGCAGTATCAGTACCACATAGTTCCACGCTAGATGGGTGCCAATTAGCAGCATTGCTACAATAAAATGAAAAGTAACAATAGGTACTTGGTTATGCATAAATTAGAACATGACAGCACACAGCAGGACTGCCTTTTTTTGCAATAAGGAGGCCAAAAGCAGTAAAAGTTTTTTTTGCAATAAGCGATTTTGAAGAAAATATTCATTTAAAGAGAGACTAGCCAAGAAATGATCTCTCTGAAGGGTCCCAGAGCTGGACACCAGACACCTTAGAAAGATCACTTTTAACCAAGAATTCTAATCCAGGTTTAATGAACAGGTTCAGGACCAAAGAACTAAAAATTGTTCGAAGCTGACAACAAAATTCCAGTCCAGTATAGTATCTTGAATTCTTCAGTCTTTTCAAAGTCAGGGTGTATGAGATGCTTTGGAGAAAACCATTTTAAAAGGTGGTTCAAATTGGTATTATGGATAGAAATACTTTTAGAAATCCCCAAGTCATTCATAGTAATTTAACAGCAGGTTTAAGCTGAGTTTTTTACCTCCAACCAACCCCTGAAGATTGCTTTGCCAGATGCTGTATTTCACTTTGCCTGCTGCTCCTGTTGTTACCCTAAAAAGATCTTTTTCATTTATTGCTGCATGTATTTGGTTGTTAAGAAAGCTTAAACCTAGAGATTATTTTGTTAGTATTGGTAAGGGAGAAGACCCCCATTTTCTGAAGTGCTATACAGGAATAATTGATTGATACAGGAAAAATTGAAAGATTGCATTTTACACAGGTATTGGCCTTTGAAGGCTCTGTTCTTCCTGCCCTCCAGTGGCTAAACGACGAAAGCTTTCCTGCTGTTAGGATGTACCTGCTCTGGAGAGATACATACAAACACATTGTGTCCCACAGGGAAACCTTGCTTTGGTAGTTAAATGTGAAATTATTTCCTAAGAGGACAAGAATCATGTTTTCCAAGATACCTACTAAAATCTAATGCCATCTAGGACAAATTGGGAAAACACCTGGGAGAAGGAAAACAAAAGGAGATAGAGAGACAATTCCAGTTTTCCCCATTACATACTACTTTTGCTGTCTTCTCTGCAGCTATCCAGGGTACAGCAGCTATAGACTCGATACGCACGACGTGGAATCAAAGCTCATCACAATGGGCTCCCTGTTACTGTGATGCAGCTCAGAATGAACAGCACAGGTGTGATAAATGCACCGACAGAGGGGCCAGAAAAAAGTTGCACACACAGTTTGAAAAAAGTATCAGCTACAAAGCCTCGTGGTCTTCTAATTCATTAAGTTAAAACCCAGTTTATGCTATTACCAATCACACTTCAGAGTACAACACAGTACAACACCACCCAGTTGTGCAGACCAGGTAATGGATACCTCAGGACACCAAAACACACTCCTCTCAAAACAAAGTTTGGTCAACAGTGCTTTAGTTAGAGCTTCCCAATAACCCATTAAATGTGAATTAATTAGGTAACAGGATCATCCCGTAGGTTCACCAAATACCTGCACACTCAAGCAAAAACACAGTCTGACACAAATCTTTCTTAGACATTTCTGTTCCTTTTATTAAGGAAAGGCTCTTTGAATAGACTAGGAACAGCGTTTCAAAAAGTACAGAGCCTAAGTAAATGCAGATGCCCCAAAATCAGAAGTTCTCCAAACAGTTGAGCTGCCTAAAGCAGTTATATTGTAGAAAAAAACCCCACATTTGCTACTACAGTCACCTAAGCAGATAAGTGATCTTGAAAAAAGTGATATTTACATGCAAATGATGTGGTTTTTTATTTCAGTTGAGTAATTAAAGGGTGACTCTTTTTAACCTAATTTGTAGGCATTAGCTTGTTAATATAAGCAGCAATATACAGTATCCTCAATTTCATTTTTTTATTCTATACACAGACTGGACACAGCCACTCTCAGTACTACCAATGAGGAGGTACTTAGAAGTGTCTAATACAGAACATTCTTCATTTGCTGAAGCATGACGTCACATGCAATTAAGTGCTTTCCACTTTGACGTCTCTCATGGAGCATGAGTGCATGATTACAGTTCTAATGCCCAATACAGACTTCTCAGACAGCTAAAAATCTGAGAAAGTTGCCCCCACATTTTATGTTGACCACTTAATTTTCTCTTTATTAAATTTAGGACTGCTGACTCTTCTTGCTGTAACTGTAGTCTATGCCTAAGGTTCAACCCAAGTCTGCTAGCCAAAAAAGCACATCCACTACCCCAAACCACCCTAATTATTTGTTATACCATTTCTGCAGCAGTCCAGTTCCTAGTAACTTAATCAGGCTACATCCATAGGATTTTTTTGCTTTAAATTAATTGCTTTTATGGGAAATCAGTTTCTTATATTCAGTGCAAAAATGGAAAGTCTTGCTGTATTGAACCATCAGCAGAAACACAAACCAATCATCTACGGTGCTTTTTTATTATCCATTTCCATCCAGCACTCAGAAGTGCAAAAATTTACTACTTTGAAGCCTGTTGTAAATAAATTTTTAAACAACAAAGTAATAGTGGCCACTAATTCATATCCATGGTCTAGTAGCAATTATTTATCTTCATCACAAGCTGCTCAAGATGGATGACCTTCATAACCATGAAAGCAGGAGTGATAGACGTGGGATACATCTAAAAAAATTGCTAAAAAAAAAATATCTTGAAATAAGATTCATCCTCTGATGCAGGCAAGAGATCCACAGGCTGCTGTGAGAGACATATGGCTGAAGAGGAAAGAGCTCTTGTTGCAAGTCTAACCCTTTCAATGGTGAAAACAGCATAAAAATGTGATGTGAAAGCTACACCACGCTTCAGCCTAGTGGAACTCTAGCAAGGAGAACCTTGCAGATCAAACCGGAATCTATTCAGAACACTTAACTCAGAAGTACTAACTTCAATTCTCATAACATATATAAAGCTGTCTTAAGGTACTAGAAGTTCTTCTAGTCACCCTGATTTTCATGGATGTGAATACGGCTGGAAAAGACTCTTTGACTAGCATCTTTTAGGATGAAAACCTGAGTACCGTTAAGTTCAAGTGGACGATGAACAAGCCTATTACTGCGGAAACTGCATCAAGCTAAGCCTTGTCATTTGAAAAAAAAAAAAAAAAAATCTTTAAAGTAGCCACCAGAACCAGCATCAACATCTCCCTGCACCCCTCAATGCAGGTATTCCACTACAAGTATTACTGTTCCTAGAAATAGACAAAATCTTTAACAACACAGGATTAAAAAAAAATAAATAAAAATTCAAGACCCACCTTTCCTCTTGCAGCTCAATACAGAATGCCACTTACCAGAACCATGCAGCAGGGCTCCTGCAGTGACTGAGGAATACTCACTGGAAGCTCATTAATCTATTCCCTGTTAATATTCAATACTGAAGGGTTTTGCAGAGTAACACACTGCAGTTCAGGAAAGTAAGTTATCATTCACAGTAAGTGCTCCTATGAAGCATGCAGACTCTACCCTCAGTATCAGCACTTGCAGTACTTGATTTTGCTGCTGGATAGTTGAAAGCATGGTACACAATACTTGATATTAGATACACAAAGGGCTAAAAAACCTCATCTATAAGTAATTTAAATAATTTCTGTAGTCAAGAAACTAAGCCTATTTGCTTCCTGAACTCATGAATGCTCACAGAGACTTTTATCTATCATCCAAAAAAGCTGTATAAAGCTTTTTTTCCTTGATAAGGTTTTACACCAACTCTGAAAATCTTAACTTCCCACCATCATCAACAACAAAAATGCATTTAGTAAAAGAAAGGAAACACAAACTTTCTATTTTCATAAGCGTTTGTTAATTCATAGGCTTTGAGCTTAAACCTATTGGAATTTAGACCTTGGCATCATTCACAAATACCTCTCACTCTTTTTAAAGAACTTTATTTTAAAAATAACTTTAATTCATTAGACCATACTTTATAAGTTACCAATAGGACGGACCTGAACTCAAGCATCAGACATTTGTTGCACTTTTAGGTTTTGTAACAACATGACTTTTCAAAATAAGGTTGTACATTTAGATTCACAGTTTAATTTGTTGAAATTTAATAACATTTAAAAACACTGGAATTTGAATTGAAGGGATACATGTTAAGCACACAAATACTGAAAAAGGTCATAACCCCAAAATGCACTTCAAAATGGAACGCAGCTAATTAGTCAGACTGTAGTTTCGTAATTTCACATTTAACCTAGTTAGCACCTTAGTGAACTCAACCACTGAATGTGAGAAGTATAGTGCATGTAGTGTGACAACTCAACAGGTACTGTACCATTTCATAATTAGATTGCGTTTTCTTGAGCATTATGTGCCATATTTTTTTGAAAACTGGCAATATTTTAGAAGTCTTCTAAAACGTGTAAATAAACAATGTCTACAGTTAAAGTCTAAACAAAGAAATACCTTCTCTTTTTTTTTTTAGTTGAGATTTTTAAAAGCAATCATTTATAAGGATTGCATCAACATCAGTTAGCAGAGGAAGATCAAACTTTATTGAAACTGCTTGCATACAAAATATATTGCACTATAACCAAACAAATGTCAACATAAAATCCAATCTGTTGTAGCTAATATGTACAGAGAATATTGCCCAAGAGCAGTTACATTACAAGGTCAGTCTACCTTGGTTAATTATCTACAGTATTTTAAACCAAACAGCTTACAGATGATGTGTGCAAGGTACCAATTTCTGTTTTCAAATACTATACATTCCCAAAATAAATAACTAGAAATCAACATTAATGTTTGGCAATACTTTTTAAGACATTTTTATATTTGTTAAATCATGTGCAGTTCGTTGCCATTTTTAGTACGCTCACCTGTATGCAAGGAAAAAAAGAATGAAAAAAAGCAAAGAAACAAAACTCACAAAATACATCAGAGGCAAGGTCAAGTTTGTACAATTCTGTACATAAACAGTGGCTCTCCTTCTGGAGTAATCTGAATAAAAACGGATTAAAATGAAGGTCCTTATACAGTTTCGCCCAGTAAGTTTAATGTGTGATCAGAAATAAAAGAAAGCACAGCTCCTCCCACCACTTCCCACCCTTCCCTGGTGTATGACTGTACTTTGGATCAAATTCCGTGACACCTTCAAATTGGCTGATAATTCAGACTTTCTACCTCAAAATATGATGAATTTTTGTTCTACCGCCAATATCTCCAACTGATGTATCTGTACTTTCTAGGGCATTACACATGGTGATTTTCTTCCTACCTCTTCTGAGAGAGTCCCCGAATTAAAATAAGCAATTCAAAAAAATTTTAGGAGGATGAAAAACATCAGAGCTTTAAACTGGTCATCTGGCCAAATAGCAGGCACACATTACTAGCTTGTGAACACATTACACTTGTTCCCTCAGTAACAATGAGTTTTTTAGTTTTCCACAATGGAAAGGTTTTTTTTTTTTTTTAATTTTTTTTTTTTAAAAAAAGCTTCCGTACTGCCTACAAAGAAAAAAATTACACCCCTTTTTCAATAACACTATTTGCCAAATCTTCAGTGCAAAATAAATTTCCTATTATTATAACTGCCTAACTCAATGTTTATGTAAGGAAAAAATTATGGAAAGCATGCACTTGTCTATAAAGTACTAACATCTGACAAGGATTGCTACATATATTTTACATTTAGTGTTACCAACTCATCTTCCCTGATTTCTGCATCCAAATATAATATTCCTACCTGCCAAGATATAAAAAAGGCACAGATCATACAACTTTTTTGCTAATGAAAATGACAATTGTTACATCACACATATTTCAGGGTCCACTAAAATATTGAAAAAGGTGGACCAGAATGTGAACTGACACAGGACATAAAACGACATAGCATTTCATGAAGAACTTGTAAGTTAGATTGAAAACAGAAGCCAATTTGATTACTGCAAACACTATTTATTCTGAAAATTGAAATTGAGCAGTGAATTTGACCCGATGTGTTAAAATGGTACAACTGAACAGAAAGTTTACCAATGCACAGCTCAGTATTTTTAAAACAAACAAAAAAGAATCTTTCATTGTTTGAACTGCAATATGTACTTGAAAGCGATTTTCGGAAATTCAGATATTTTTATGCAAATATTTGAATAACTTCTTATTCTCAAAACAACTGCATACTGTTGATGTTAAAAAAGGCTAACAGAGAACATATGTTCATTTCATGCCCTGCGCCATCTTGCCTACTATTTGTCTTTGGCCTAACAAGTTTCTCTAACATGGAATAGGAATTACTGAAACAGTATAGGAAATATGACTTCAGAATTATGCAGTTTAGGGTACTCCATTCACCAGCGGCTGTTGACCATCTGCGCTGTCCGTTTTCTCTTTCTTCTGATTACGTTCTTTACCCGTGCGCAGCCGACTACCTTCATTGGAGGTATTCTGTAATGTTTTAGTGTGGACACTCCTTTCATTATTGCAGTCAATTCTGATCTGGAACAAGTCAGAGTTATATAAAGCATTCTCTTCCTTTCATGCACCCCTTACGATCTGCTACCTTAGCGGCCTGGGAGGAGAACTATTTATTAGATAGTCAGAAGACACAAATAGTACCACACCCCGATGGCTTTGTTAAATGTATCCAGCTGAAATGGTGAGTGTGCGAATGCTTTTCTGTTCAAAAATGCCACATACTTGTGACCTAAAAAAGCCAAACCCTAAAATACTCCCGTCTACCTAACCTTGGAAGCTAAAAAAAATTTTTTTCCAGCATGGTTGTGCAAGATAAAGTGGAAGAACTAATAGCAGACAAAACTTTGAAACATTATTTAACTTTCAAGAATTCTACTTTCTATTTGTTGTATACAAACATTTTTTTGAAAAAAATGAACACAGAAAAGCTGCCATGAAATGATACTAACACTAAAAAAAGTCTACTCAGCCACCTCTTGAATCTGCAAAGCTTAATCCACCAAAAAGACTTCTGTGGCCTTTTTAAGTGGTCATAAAAAAATTTCAAAAAAGCATTTTGAAAGCAAAGCTTTATGCCTGTAAAGGGGGTAAGCTCTTATTGCTTGAAACATTACAGAATTTTTTACAACTTGATTAGTCAGGTTTCAACAATATGCAAGTACTTATTTTCATATAGAGTACCATTTCATCCAAATCTCAGAGTAACAGAAAAAAAAAAATCATGACCTATTGATAAGTACCTTGGTTTCTTTTTCAGCATCATGATTCTCCACTGTCTACTTTAAACTTTAAGTTAATTACTGATTAACTATGAAAGCTGTATGTCTGGGTTTTTTTTGGCATGTAACTGTTTGCATTTTAGATGCATATTGAGGTATTGCACCTTCAAGTTCAGTATTCCCACTTGGAAAACTAAGCATTTGGTCACTTTTCCCATTTTTTCCCCCCCTTCTTTCTTAAACAGGCTTGCTAAAAACGAACCAAGAGTCATCTCAATCTCCCATCAGAACCATGACTCCTAGTAACTCCACACAGGAGGCAGCAGCTTGCAGCTGCTCATTTTTTCTTCCTCCCAACACAACTCATCCTATGCGGTAAGAGATGGTAGAAGGTTTCCATGTTAATCATTTGAAGCAGGAACAGTTTCCATGTGAGGAAACAACATATATACATAAAGTATCAGCCTGAATAACTTTAAGCAACAGAACATATTTGAAAAAAAATTTAGAAACATATTTTATAGCCTTTTATAAAGAAAGTTATGAAGTACTTCAATATATGACTTGAACAATTTCTTGATGCGCATTTTTAACTTACTTTCTAGATTGCATAGCCTTCAATTGCAAATGTTTCATTTAGTAGTGAAGGTAGTTTCTGATGTTTAATCTTTCTTACTCTGAAGATTCTGGCTACAACACACTTTTTATATAAAGCGTTAAGGATTCTCCTCCCTCAGGTATATAGGTGACAGACAACAATACACAACGCAGCAAGAAAGAAAAGCTAAAAACAAAAAGCTAGTAAGAACAAAGACTGAAAACAAGCTGGTTAGTAAAACCTTGGGACTCGCGATCAGAGTTCTAACTGAAGGGAGAGCTAAGCTAACATTACAAATTTGCATCTTTATACAACTTGATATATTGAGATTCCTGTGTATACGTTACAAAAGGACACAGAACTCTTGTAGATCTGATTAGGGAATTAGGGAATAAGGAACCACAAGGCTACTTGTGTTGCTTGTGGCTTTGAAGACTCTAATGTCAATATAGTACACTTACACAATTTCAAACAGTGCAGAGTTCCAATAAGAGAAAAATTACCTCAAGAGATCCATCTGCTGTTCTCCCTTTTGCATCTCTTGAGTTACGCTGACGGTTATCTGTTCGTGACTGTTCATCATTTCCTGTAAGAAGAATTAATCAACTAAGTTGTTCAATGAGGACATATGATCTTCTTTTACTTAAAATTATGCAAGCACAATAGGGAATTACTTAAAAATTTTCATGCTAAAGAACATTAAGCAAATATTCTTAACAACATAACAGTTCTTAAACAATGGACCAAGAATCACTAAAGAAAATATTCTCAGGTGTTAATCAAAGTAGACAAAACCCCACCACAGTTTAAAAGAGACTACCTATTGACTAAAGAAAAATACCTGTCCTATGATTGATCATTTCGACAGAGAAGTATACAGTCAGCTTCAGTAAGGTTTAACATGTTCACATTTTTTCTAATGGCTTATGAGCTTTCTCAATTCTGCATTACCTTTTTTCAAAAAAATCTTATTAAATCAAGCAATACCCATACTTTGATTAAAAATATTTCAAGAAATAAGCAGATTTGCAGACAAAAATTTTTAAACAAATAAATATAATGAAATATCATGTTATAATATATATGCATTTAAATTATTTAAGTTTTCCCATCTTACTTTTGCCTGGTCCTTTCCACTGAACATTACAACCTTATATAATCATGAAAATCAGATGATAATGATGAAAATCAAATACTAGGAGGTGGGAATATGGATAGTTGAATGGGTAAGGCAGATAAGAGTGTTTTCTCCATCCATTGACAAACCAGAACTGGATTCCTTGACCTCAACGTGTGATGGCACAGCCCATAAACTTGAGTCAACATGCATATTAGGAAAGCAAATTACTTAGAATGCTATTGCCATTTATTTGTATAGAGAAGAGAGTCTTTATATAATGCATGAAGAGATATTGGGATGGAATGCCTCCTTAGCAATTCTGCAGATGACACCAAACTGGGGGAAGTGGTTTGATATACTGGAGGTCAGGGCGGCTAATCACAAGGACCTCAACAGAAAACTCATTAGCTTTAAAGATGAATCCCAAGTCCCACAGCTTCAATAGGATAACCCCATGTGATAGCACTTGCTGTGGATTGACTGCATATGCAGCAGCTCCACACAAAAGGAGCTGTCCTGGTAGACAACAACTTGGAAGACGACATGAGTGCACTCTGGCAACAGTGACAGCTGACCGAGTAACAGTCGTTTTAGTAGGAGTGTGGCCAGCAGGTCAAAAAAAAGGGATTATTCCCCTCTGCTCAACGTTCAACACAACTGAAATAAAATACTCAATTTAAGGTACTGACAAAGTGGAGAGAATTCAAGAGAGGAACACCAGAATGACTAGTAGGCTGGAGCAGATGACAAAAGAGGTTGACAGAAGTAAGTTTGCTTCAGGGTTCCAACCCTGACCTCTTTTTCAAAATTAAGTCTACATTTACCTTTGAATCCTCCACGACCCCTCCCTCCTTGCCCTCTTGCACCACCTCCACGTCTTCGCCCATCTCCTCTACGAAGGTAGTTGTCTCGCTCCTCTTCTGCTGGGGCTGCTGACCAATCACTAAGTTCATCTCTGTGATCAGATTCTGTTTCAGAAGCATTTGATGCTTCAGAATTAGTTCCTATCAAAAGGATAAAAAAAAAATCCAAACATGCCAGTGTAGCTTAGCATCAAGATAGTATAGTAGAATAAAAAAAAGGATAAATTTAAAAATTCTGTTTTTTTTTAATAAACAGTTCTGGGATTTCTTGCCTCCCAACCTCTATAACACACATAATACAGAAATGTGTATAATATACATTACTTCTCTGTCAAGACAGACATAAATAAAAGTTAGAAGTGTGTTTAAGGTTAAATTAAGTGTGCCACACGTTTATAGTTATTTGGTGTTACCAGCCTATCAATGTATTATTGAATCTACTATGCAAATGTATGTCTAGTAAAACCTAAGAAGTTTAACAGACTATGCTTTCTTTCATATTTCTAAAACTGAAAGTTCTGAGTATAACCTGTCCTGTCTTCCCCTCACCACAACTCCTCTATGAAAAGAAAAAAATTCCATCATGAACACACTACAAAAGCAGAGAACAAAGTTACAATGCTAGAAATGTATCAAATCCAAAATAACTGGCCATCACAATTTTTCCAGTTAACCTTCACTGATAAAGCTGGTTCTTTTCCCCAATTTTTTCCCCCCTATAACCCTGCTATTAGCCAGATGAGGTCACATAATCTAAAAATATTAAAAGCGCTTCAGCACAAACCCAGTAATTTTGTATTATGTAGAACATAAGCTAAGGCTGTCTTTTCAAGCTCATACTGCAGGCCCTTCAGTCAGAACAGACACCAGCTGACCTACATTATGGATAATGAAGTAACAGATTGCTCTGAAGAAGCACAATCCTGAAAACTATTTATTAATGAATTATGTAAGGTTTTAAAAAGGAACAGTGTATTTTGGTGACTATGCTCTTCTAGTAAAAACATAGAAGTTCAATTTTATATAAGGAAAATAGTGGGTTTAATTTAGAAATTGTTCAAAATATAGATAAAATAACAATCTTTGGCCTAAAAAGCACATAATGTAGAAGACATAAGCATGCTGCAAGAGAGGAACTGCATGGAAATAAGTTTAAATTACATAGAAGTGCTGCATTTTACTTCAGAATATTTTCTATATGTTAGAACTCTAGATAAATCTTCAAATATTAATACTCAATATTAACAGAATTTCTGTTTTAACAGCTGTTTCCAAGTCGAGTTTTTTTCAAGAAATCAAAAGACCAATAGGCCACTCTTAAAACTTAAGTGTACTTCTAGTTCCCTACCTGAAGCATACCCTGGACCACGTCTGCTATGCCCTCTGTTTCTGTAAGGTCGACTACCGCGTCCAAGTCCTGGACCATCATCAGTCATGTACCCTTTTTCCTTATCTGTACGATTTGGTGGTGGCCTAGAAGTAGCTCCAATCTGTCGAAGCTGCTCATCAATTTGCAATCTTTCCAAACGCAGCTGGTCCACTTCCTACACAAACACAAGCATAGCAAGTCATATGTAACCACTATTTAATTATCTGAATGTACAGACATGCAGTTCTCAAAGAAAGAACACTTAAATATTGCAACTAATAATCTATTTAATACTCAAATACTACCTCAGCTTTGAGAATAATCTGTTTACAAAAAAACCCCACTTTCAGATGTTCAAATCTGTTAAAATAGACACATCAAGAACAAGCACTGAGGTCAACTGTTTTCAGGTGATATAATTAACTACACTTCAGTATTAAATTTATGAGATCTTTACCCTTCAGGAAATTAAACATTCTTTAAACAGAGAAATTAATATTCCTTTATTTTCTACCACAGTAATATAATTAATTTATAGCATTCCAACAACAGCATAATTTAAACTTTATTTAGATTCCAACACAAGCTTCTTACATTGTTGCATGTAACAAACATCAAAGTTATTACACAATTATGATGTAATTATATCATTTAATAAAAAGGGCTAGAGGTTACACTGCTGTTAAATTCTACTTAAATATGAGATTATAATAAGAGATAAACACAAACAATTATCTACAGCAATATACATTCAGACAGTACTTTTGTCAGTTTGAGATGATGTCTAGCTACCATCAAGAAGTGGCAATTTTTTTATTTTTTATTTTTTTTTAAAATCAGGGAGAAAGCTATTTATGAAAGTTTCAGTGTGATACTGGAAGGGACCTCTAGAGGTTACCTAGTCCAGCTAGGACTTCAACAAGATCCCTTGGCACTCTGGGATGCATCCAATCAGGTCCTGCCAACTTGTATTTATCCCTTTTTTTTTCCCCCCCAGGTGTTCCCTAACTCAATCTTCCTTTAGGAAGGTTAAGTCTTCATTGCTCCAGTCTCCCTTTGGTTTCAGGGGCCTGGTACTCCTTAGGACAAATCTTATCAATAAAAAACCAAAGTGAAGATGACATTCAGTACCTCATCCTTTTCCTTAAAGTTGCCTATTCCATTCAGCAGCAGGCCCACATTTTCTGTAGCATTTGTTTTGCTGCCAATATACCTGTAGGAGACCTTCCTGTTGCCTTTCTCATCCCGTGCCATATTCAACTCCAGATGGACTTTGGCTTTCCCAAATTTGTCCCTGCACACTCAGATTGTGTCTTTATATTCCTTCTGGGTCAGCTGTCCTTACTTCCACCCCCAGTATCCTTCCTTTTTATATCAGAATTTTCCTAAAAGCTCCCTGTTCTATCCATGCAGGCTTCCTGTCACTTTTGTGTGACTGCCTGTATAACAAAAATGGACTATTCTTGAGCTTGGAGAAGGTGATTCTTTAAATTCAGCCACCTCTCCCGGACCCGTTTTCTTTCCAGGAACAGATCCCATGGGATTTTTCCAAGCAGATCCCTACACAGGCCAAAGTCCACTCTCCTGAAGTCTGGACTGTGATCCTGATATTAGATCTTTCTTCCTCCACTAGGGATCCTGAAACTTCACTATGTAACAGTCACACCAGCCAGATCTGCTTTCTTCTTTTGTAGAGAAATTCACTGCTTTTGATGTTGATGCCCTATTGTGAGTTGATACAGTACGTTTGATGTTGAGGCCCTATTGCGTATCTTTTACAAGAAGTTTCCTTAATAAACTTCGCCTGGAGGCACAAAACCACAGAAAACCTTAAAGGAACAAGTCAGTTCCACTTCTTGTCAGTGAACTGGAGGACATTATTCTGAAACTAAATCATAATTCAACAGGCCACCAAGATGATAACATTTTGTGTGTGTATGTTAAATGGGATGAGAAAGCAGAGATAAAAATCTCCAAGATAAGAATCTATCCTCTAGTTGTTACAGACTGATGAACACTGTTGTATGTGCCCTCTTGTTCAGAAAGGTTAGAAGGACAGTACTAAGAGAAAGTGACCCTAATTGACAATGAACCGAGGAATCTAAAAGAATTGCTGGGCTATTAAACACTTTCCACTCATGTGTCAGTACCCATTTAAGTACTGACTCCTATGCAAATACCCATTTAAGGCAGCCAAAGAAGTTAAACCACAGATATCTTCTGAAATAACAATGAGCATGCAAGAAAGTAGCTTGATTTTTAGTACTAGTTTTCATGGGGTCCTTCTCTGCCTCTACCACCTGATAGCTGCAGAGCTGCTGTATCTCTAGTCCAAAACACTGATAAATCCAAGGGCTCCACAAGCAGCATTAAGTGGTACAGTTATTATTGAGTAGGTAAGTAAGGGAACAAAAGTAATTTATTCTTCTAACTGCTCTGATACCTATACATTTAGCTATGTGTGGAAATTTCAGCATTCTAGAAGCTGTAATGATAGCTACCGCACAGACTGGACATGTATCAAATTATGAACAGTCTGGAAGTTTCAGAATAGATGCAAGAATATATTTAATTAAATAAACTCAAAGCAGTACCTACTGTTAGCATCTGGCCCTAATACCTATAAGCAAAAGTTACTATAAACAATCATGTGGGATGTTTTTTGCTCCCTGTACAAATGACAACAAGCACTGCAGACTACTGGAGAATCTATGGAGCCAAGAGGCAAAGACAACATAGAAAGCTGAACTGCCTGAAAAACACCCTCAAGTATGAAATGTCAATTAACCAAAAAGAGAAGTTTAGGGGTTTAGTATGAAATGCCCTCTACATACAATAACTCTGCATAGAACACTGTTTGCTTTGCAGTTGCATGAGGGATTGACTATTCCTTGTATATAAAAGTTGTCAGCATTTTTTGAGATAGATTTTTATTTTTGTACATTTTGTATTTTTGCATTTTTGCATTCTGAAGAAAACTGATCTGTTTTCACCTGATCCTTCAGATAAATGATTCTTTCAATAAAGCATAGCTTTTTCAAGAAATGTTTTTAGACTGAAAACCTGTTATAACACCAATTTTTCAACAGCCTTTGGGGCCTGAACAGATTTTCATCATCATCTTGTTACCATCTTAATACTGATAGAAAAATTTCAGTGGTAAAGCAGCATCATTTTCCTCACCTTTAAATAATTAAGATGATAATCCAGAAGAACAGTTGCATTAGTGATGCTATCCTTGGTTCCCACAAACACAAATGGTACCATTCCCTAAAATACAGTAACAGGAATCCTATGGTTATTAATTAGGCATCAAACACTGAAGAGACCCAAATATATTACTGTAAGACTTGAAAACAAATTTTTACAACATGGATAAGCATAAATTTAAAAATGAGACGATAGTATATTTAAATTTTGATGTTGACTAGATCATGTAGACTAATTCCCTTTGTGCAAAGAGCTTTTTTGTATCTTATGCAGCGCAATGCCAACATTTATTTTCCTGAACGACTAAAAAAAAAAAAAAAAAAAAAAAAAAATCAATTCAAACTTCAGGTTTCCTTCCTTTAAAATTAGTATCAGCTTTGCTGATCATGTCTGCTCTCTCATACCAGGTTCTTTTAGGCTACACATCAGTAAAGAAACTTTAATATTTTTAAAAAGTAAATCAACTTAATACCATGTCATAAGCCCAAACTTGATCCTTCTTGAGGATCTCTCAATTCTCTCAACAAAAAAATATTCAAGAAATAGAGTTACTACTTCAAGCAACGATTGCCAACTTACATTTCTTTTACCATTCAAGCATTTTGTTTAAGCGATTCAGTAAATACCTGAAAAATATAAAGCTGGAAATTCTAATGTGTGAAGTTTTGACACTTGGAGATAAAACATCTGAAGACTAACTTAGGTGGCCAAAGTGGGGTAAGAAATCTACCTAAAAGGGCCTCCCTTGAGTGCTGAAAACAACTAAACTTCAGCAGATACAAGGATAAATTTCCACACCAAAACTCCTGACACTAAAATAGGTCTACACAGCATTTCAGAGGTGTGATTGCAGCCCACACAGACCCAGTAAGCTAGGTTTAAACTACTTAACTCTTGTACCAGCTGCAGCCTCACCGTGGCAGTATAAACTTCACTGCGGACTGCAGAAGTCAGCCTGAGTCTCATAAACACTCAGCTGCTGAAACCTATGCCACTGCAGACCCAGAGCTTGGCTACACCTATTGAATTAATTTAAATTTGGTTTTTGTATCCCATCATGACCTCTAAAGACACCTTTAATTTTCACTGTACACATACCCTTTACAGAACTGCATTCCAAAGGAGGGGTTTTTTATGTGAAAGTGAAGTGACCTGAGACACAATGTCTTAAAACACGCACAGCATGCTGAGGTTCCCCAAGAGTGGCAAGTCTATAATTTGTCTCTGCTTTTGTTTTTTTAGTTTGTTTGTTCATTTGTTTTTCTTTTACATACAAGTAACATTTTTATTAAATAACAAGGAAAAAAATAACAGAATCCTAGATCCTAAGAAACCTCAACACTTACACTAACTTTCATGAGCAAGCAATCCTTCAGCCACAGGCACCGTTGACTGAAATGTTTTATTATCTGGGGTATTTTAAGTTTCATAAAGAATATGATAAAGAACAATGAAATTTCTACTAAACTGGCATTAACTAGCACTTAGTAGCAATTATTAAAAGATCACAAGGCAACTGACTTAAAAAGGCATTTAAGGAAACCACTTATTGTTACTTTCAGCAGTGGATTCTAGGTATAGCAATGCCAACCATTAAGAATATGAGCTGGTAAAAGGTGTCAAGCAATTTTAGCCATAGAAAAGCATCAAAGTGCTTTTTTTTAACCGTATTTCTGTCTTCAGAGGAAAAGCACTGATTTTCAACTTAATTTCAGTGGTGAATACTGAGTAGACCTTATGTGCATAAGAGATTTAGAGATAAAAATAATATATGCTACTATAACAAACAGTACCTATCATTTTAAAAAAATTAAAAGCCTGAAGATCCTGTTATAAAATTATGGGAGTTATGAAATGGCACCTGAAATTTATGGGCAGTATTCCAACATCTCAGTCATAAGAAAAAGAACCTAATGCTGTATTAAAATTTAAAACTGAACTATTGTTCTTTACAAAAACAAGGAGTGTAATATCCAAATTCACACATGGGAATATTAATGCACATTTATTTCAAATGTGAAATACAAGTAAACTTACAAGAACTAACTCTTTCCTGACAAGATTTGATCTCAGGTTTCTGTGTTGCTCCTGATATGACAGAACTAACACATGAAGCAGTGTAAGAGTTAGCAATGTCATTAACAGGTAAAACAAATACGAATGCAGAGCTTGGCAGGTAAAAAAGCTTTCAAGTTTATCTTGAAAAGCTGCATTTTTGATTGAAGAACAACAAGTAAGCTTTTTCAAGCCAGAATAAAAAAAAAAAAACCAAAACCCAAAAACCCTTACATACTAATTGTGGCCATGACTACTTGTTCTTTTACCCTTCTATTATTCCGTAGGCTTACACATTAAAAATGTTGAAAGTTTTAGCCTGCAGCAATAATAGCACCCTCTTTCTTATTAAGCTAGTTCAAGAATTTTAAGCTGCAAGAATTTATCATTAGAAATTAAATATGACATAGCAGTAAATCCTTTAAATTGTAAACATTGACTATTTCACCTTTTCAGATAGATATAAAACTAGTAAAGTAGAAAAACGCCCTTATTTTCTTAGCCACCATTTACAGAAAGACAGAAATTGGATTGTGTGTCTTCAGTAATAGTTTTATAGTGATAATGCAAAAGATGGTATTTCACATCTTATTCAAAGTAGCAAAGGTTCCTTACCTGGTACATATTTACATTTCCAGGTAAATTAAAGACAGTTCAGTTTTCTTTAAGCACATTTCACATCTTAAATTGCAGGGAATCTTTTTGCATTGAGATACTAAAAGCTTCATGCCTGAAGCTTTACTTGCAAACCTGCAACCCTTTCCCTCAGCACAACCCCACATAAAAGCGCCTCAAATTACAAAGTTCAAGACTTCATTAAGGCCCTTTAGAAGGCTGATAGCCTTCCTGTGTAAACCTGGAGTATCACTTTATTCATACTTGTTTTTTCTTTAGGTTACAATTTACAGGCTATTGTGAATTTAGGTAATATTTTAAAAAGAGATGTTTATATACAAAGCACAAGATTTTCATTACAGTACAAGAAATTACTAATAAAAATTTAAACCAGGTAAAACCCTAAGAGATCAAACAGAGAGCAAACTAATGAATGGAAACAGTAAGTTTCACACGTCCTGATTTACAGCTTAAGAAGTGCTGGCTTCTAACAGGAATAAAATGAAATCTCTAAGAAGGTGCATCACCAGAAAATTTCAGAAAGCATTCTTCAAACACAGATAAGCCAAATTTATATAAAAATGCATTAATAGGGAAACAGAGATTCCATCAGAAAAACACACATTAATCAAAACTTTATCTTACCACTATGAAGACACAAGGAAGAATTTTATCACTGGGTGGAATATAACCATCAATTAACACATACGGAAATCAGACTAATGCAAAACTTACCTCTTCTTGGGGAATATTTTTATCATTTTCGGCCTCAATTCTCACTCTTACAACACCAGATTTATCCACTATTTCCTGAATCAGTTTTCCATTTTTTCCTATTACTTTTCCTACAGAAAGAACATACAGAACAATCTAAGTTTAGATTTTTTTTTTCCCCCAAAACCTTACTATACTCTAATTAAACAAGAGTATTGTAAACCAGTAAACCAGTGCAAAAACTTGTCAAAAATTACTTAATACTCCACAAAGATTTAGTTAACAAGCTGTGAACTAAAATGCCTAATTAAGCTTGGGGTGTTAACTTTGGTAATTTTCAAAACAACCACTGCAGCATACAGGAAAAGAGGTACTTTGTTATGAAAGTGTGTTATTGAGCATAGTTTCCTTCTTTTTCAAAGCTCCTGTAAGAGAACAAAGGAAATTCAATCACAAATACCTTGCCTTTGTATAAAATTATTTGAAATGACACATCTGAATTACTGAAATATTCAGTATCTTGCATGCTTATTTGGCTTTGCTTTGCTGGGTTTAAAATAACTTCAGTGATTTACAGATTAAAGTAAACATCAATGGTTGCATTTAAAAACAACAACCCCAAAACAAAAAACCCTTTTACAATGCCCTAACATTTGCTGCCTTTTGGGTACAGAGCAAAGAAAAACTCTTTAGTTTGTTCCCAAAAATTTTAGTTGATTAAGTTTTCTGACACTACTGAAGATACTGTTTGAGCCAGATGTAAGTTCTCTTCTCTGAAACTGAGCTTTTTAAAGAAATATTTTGAAATAGTTTATAATTCATTAAAAATTCAAAGATAAAAATGGAAATAAATTATACTCAAATGCCAGTAATGCATACATTTATCTTACGAATCAGACATTCTAATTTGAGACAATGAAAATAAAAACTTTAGTTCTCTCCAACCTATGGAAAATAACTTGCTGTCTGAAAATTTACAGGAAAACTGAGCTGCTTGGGAGTTAATGAGGAAAGGCCATATCCTTCAATCACAGCATTAAAGACAATTTTAAAAGGGTGATATAAAAGATGTTTTCTGCATGTAATAAAAATAAAGATTTTTCTTTTAACAAAACTGCTGGAAAACTTGTAACCTTTTTCACAGGCACATCACTGAAATAAAGGCAAAAAGTACTAAGTGCATGACAGCTATTGTTTTGCTGATACAATTAATCCATGAAGAGCAAATTAAAACCCACTTTTAACCACATGGGACATTGTTCCTATTGCTCACAGCTAAATAAATTTTCATTTTTCTGTTCTCATTTTTCTACCACGAATTTTTAAATCCCACATGTTTGCAGAAAACATGACAAAAGATGGCTTGCAAGTTCTTCCTTGATGTCAAGGGCTGCTCTGAGAATCAAAAGCTTCTTCTGAGTACTTTATTTCATTACACATCACTGGCAAACGTAACAGCAGCTTACTAATAAATGTAAAAGCACCTTGGTAGTGATTTAAAACAGTCAAGTAAACAAACAAACAAGCCAACAAAAACCAAACCCCAAATCTTACATTGGTTGTCCCAATGAAAAATATATCTTTTTAAGTATTTGTTTTTAGTTAGAATTCAGCAACATGCATAAAAATCTAAAAATAATTAAGGACTGCATGCATGTATTTTTAACCTGTGTTTCATGTTATAAATTTCCATACAGCCTTTATAAAAAGCAGTGTTTGGGATGGGTTGGTTTTGTTGCTGTTTTCTTTTTGTTCAGTTTGAAGTTTTTTAAAGGGTAATTAAGTAGAAAAAGCCAGAGATTTGCATTTTATTTCCATAAAAATTGGTATATCAACAATGTAGTAAAAGGAAAAAAGCCTTCTGCCTTTTTAAAGTAAATTATTTAATTTTCTGGCAAATCATTAGAAATTTGAAAAAAAATTAAATTATCAAACACAGTTTATTTTGGATATAACATATGGTTCAGCCAATTTTATATTCTAAAGGATCCAGGCCAAGAAGCAGAATATAAATTAAAAACTGCCAAAACAGAAATCAGTGCAAAGTTCTAAACAGAAAATAGAAACAAAGAAATTAAAAACTCCAGTTAAAATAATGATGGCAGCTTATAATTTTTACTTATGATCAGTAGAATCAGGAGGGAGTGGGGAGGGGAAAACTACTATTTTTAAATCAGTTCCAGAGGTGAGGTATAACATTCCTAAGTACTTGTCCCACTGCAGAATTTCACACTGCTTCAAGGTCAGTTTTCATACACTGCTTGACAACCTATTAAAGTATTTGCTTTTAGAATTATGTTATACCATATAGTATTTTCCCTGTTCTTATCTACTGAATTAAGCCATTTATTTTTGTTGCTTTGTAGCATCAAAAGCTCATTAAAAGATTACCCCCACAAGAACTGCATGCATTCTTGAGGACTTTTCTCAGGGTGTTTGACAATGGAAATCTATTAGACTGTCTTTGGGTTATTTTTGTGATCACTGGGTATCTTAGCTAGGTGTTCAGTTCATTCCACAGTGCTGCTTCTAAACAAACTGTATTTTAGATTTAAAAGGACAGGAAAAAGACAAATACAGCTCAAAGAAATTATTCAAAATATACTAGGAAAATATGAGACTGCAGATTCATCTGTTGTATAGTTGAACTAATCTCTGGACATCTTTGAAGGAAGACATTTAATTTCTTTGGCTCAATCCAGAAGCTATTCTACTTTGTATTTAAACATCAGCATGTTGCTTCTAGTTTAAGATATCTCTGAATTGCAAACCAGGAGGTAACCTCTTTCAATGTACTGAAGGTAAACATGTCCATAAAAATTCTGCACGGAGGTGGAAAACAAAACAAAAAAAACCCAACCCTCAAAATTTTATACCACCTAGAACCCTTTTGCAAAGGGAACTTCTTCAAACTTTTACCCTGCCACCTTTCTAAAAGTAAAAAAACAGTTCTCAGAAGGCACTGTTCCTTACTATCACACAGTTAGCCTCTAGAATTGACATACCTACTAAGTTTCTTGGGACTTGTATAACATCTTCAGCAAATTCAAGGTAACTCCTTGCCTTTTTCACTGCATCTTGATCCTAAAATAGACAGATGTATGAGAGAAACAAGATCCATTGTCCCACGTTTTTTTGTGGGGGGTGGAGTTTGGGTGTGTTTTTTTTTTTTTTTTTATTTAAAGGCTAAAGAAGGGAACTTACCTCTCCATAAATATGGAATGTGCAAGTATCTTCATCAAGATCAATAGCAGTCACTCCAGGGACTTTTCTGGCTTGCTGAATATTAGCACCATGAGTGCCAATGGCCAAACCCATTAGGTCTTCACGTACAACAAATTGTTCGTGAAATCGTGATGCAAGTTGTCTAGAACTCTGAAGAAAAATATAATGTTAACTTACTTTGATTTTTAGTACACTGGAGAGAGAAATCAACATAAATTTAGAGCCAATACTTCATTCAGGTACTTAGCCTACATTTTATTTTATTCAATCCTTTTAATACACTTATTTTCACTTCAAAAGCACTGAAGAGTCTTCTCCAGAAGTCCTAATATTGCCTTTTAAATATTAATATAAGGCTAGCCTCTAGCTGTGTTGACACCTCTATACTTGGGATTATCATAGAGTATCTACAGCTATCAAGTGTTACTAGGTAAGACAGCATACGTGCAGGTTAGTAAAATAGGAGCTGTGTTCATTATTAAAGCAAATCTCAGAAAAAAAAACTGCACCCATTTCAACAGGTAGGGGGAAACAGCAATAACTCAATCACTGGACACAAAAATTATATAGAAAACAGTAACTACAGATATCTACTACACTTAAAAGAATCTCTGCCTATGCAAGACAAGACAAAATTAAGGTATAACTACAATATATTGCTTGAATTCAGAGAACAAATATGTTAACAATTTCACCCAGGAATCACATTTCTACCAAGACAGAAAGGTCAGTGAGAACTTGAGATTGTCACATGCTATCTAGACAAAATTCCTTGCTCCAGCACAGCAGTAACAATGACTGAACAGTATACTATTAAAATTACTTTCAGTCACGTTTGAGGCTTAGTTACTCTCAAATTAAATACCTGGTTATTGTTTCGCAACTCTCATCACCTTTGCATGCAACCACTATGGTGTAGCCACAGAATGCAAAATGGCTTACAGAATCTTAATGAGGATCTCTGATATGAAATAAGATACCAAGAAAGAAAAAGAAAAACCAACCAGCTTTTGGATCTGGAAGAAGATTTTTCAAAGTAACTGAAAAAGTATCTCTAGAAACCTGGATAAAACTTGCAAAAAATACACAAAACACAGGAAAAAACCCAAACAAACTGTAACTCCAATGACCATAGTAAACAATTTCCTAAAGCAGTTCTTAGCTTCCACAAGAACTATGTTAGCAAGCTCTGATGTGATGCACAAGTACGCATATACATGCCCATATATAAATACACAGCAAGCATGCAGATGAGAGCTGGGAACAGAGGGAAACTTTTGAGAAATATCTTGTAGCACGCTGTGAAGTTGGATGCTGCTGAAATGCTCAAACATTTTTTCAACACCCATACAGTATTGCATTGACACAAACAGCCTCTGTCAATCCCAGGTGGATTAGATTATTAGCATGAACAGACCTCATGAGTGCAAGGAAAAACACTTGGGAAATGCCAAATTGCATGCAGTTCAGAACCTGTCAAGCAATGGGGAAAAAGAGATAAACGGGCACTTTTATTTTTCAAAAACAAAACCACATTTTTAAAAAGACTAAATGACTGATAAATTTCAACTACACAGCCTCTTCATACTTTCAAAAAAACCAGTTTTCTTATAGGATGCTTGTGCTATATGAAGCAGTAAGATCACTAAGTTTGGCCACCCTGAGAACTAGAAGAAACATACGGAGAGAAATCAGTAAGATATACAGAACAAAATATGTATTGTTTATGATAATGAAGTTGTCATAGTTACAGGACTTAAAGCTACAGAGAAAAGCAAATATAAAATGTGTGAAAAAGACATTATTTACCACAGTGAGTAAAATTCCTGCATAAATGTGGACACTATCCACAAGTGTCTGAGCATAACAGAACACAGGAAAGTAACAGTAGTTTAATGCACAGAGGGAAGATAATTTCATAAGGAAGAAAAAAAGATGGAGTTGTATATTAGCTTTCCAGAGCCAAGATACATAATCCTACACATTTCTGCATCTTAATCAAAGCTGTAACTACTGTGAAGACATACATAAGCACACAGTTTAACCTTAGCAACGTGAGACCCTACAGAGGTTGAGAAAACGTCAAGAAAGTGCCCACAGTAAGTCCTAGTCTGTCCCAGCTAAACCGCTGCTGTTATCTGACCTGGTCATGCTTAAAGCTGTTGATAAATACCCTGTGCTAAATCACTGTTGCAGAGAATTGGCTACAATAGATAGTGGTATAAGTGTCGCAAAATACTTCACATACTCAGGGAGGTCTATCAAGCATTTTATTAACTACATTAGAGACAACTCAGAAAGCAAACATTATTTTAAATGCTCACAGATCTACTTCTAACAGATAATTCAAATGCTGATTTACTAGTTGACATCTGGGAGGAGTGGCTGATACGCTGGAAGGCTGCGCTGCCATTCAGCGGGACCTGGACAGGCTGGAGAGTTGGGTGGAGAGGAACATGAGGAAATTCAACAAGGGCAAGTGCCGAGTGCTGCACCTGGCGAGGTTGAACCCCATGCACCAGTACAGGCTGGGGGCTGACCTGCTGGAAAGCAGCTCTGCTGAGAGGGACCTGGGAGTCCTGGTAGACAACAAGCTGACCATGAGCCAGCAATGTGCCCTTGTTGCCAAGAAGGCCAATGGTATCCTGGGGTGCATTAAGAGGAGTGTGGCCAGCAGGTCGAGGGAGGTTATCCTCCCCCTCTACCCTGCCCTGGTGAGAACCCACCTGGAGTATGTGGTCCAGTTCCGGGCTCCCCAGTTCAAGAAAGATTAAGAACTCCTCGAAAGAGTCCAGAAGAGAGCAACTAGGATGATTAGGGGACTGGAGCATCTCCCCTACAAGGAAAGGCTGAGAGAGTTGGGCTTGTTCAGCCTGAAGAAGAGAAGACTGAGAGGGGACCTCATCAACACATACAAATATCTTAAGGGCGGAAGTCACGAGGACGGAACCAGTCTCTTTACAGTGATGTCCAGCGACAGGACAAGGGGCAATGGGTACAAACTGAAACATAAGAGGTTTCAGTTGAACATGAGGAAAAACTTCTTTACTCTGAGGGTGACAGAGCACTGGAACAGGCTGCCCAGGGAGGTTGTGGAGTCTCCTTCTCTGGAGATATTCAAAGCCCACCTGGATGAAGTCCTCTGTAGCATGCTCTAGGAGAACCTGCTTTAGCAGGGGGGTTGGACTGGATGATCTCCCAAGGTCCCTTGCAACCCTTGCGATTCTGTGTTCTGTTATAGACCGCCACATCAGTAGAGAACAGGATAATCAAGTCAATGATCAGTTGTTAACACAACTATCTATGATATGCAGAAAAAGGTGAAGCCACATTATCACTGGGGACCTTGGCTATGACAGTCAAACTGTAGTTATATTGCTTGTACTAAAATATCATTAGCTTTTCTGTGAATTATGTGATACAAGATATATTTTATTTAAACATAATAACGTATTCTACTTCCCTCCAATAAATTAGCAAGAAACAACTATGCAAATAATGTATTAATACCGACTTCGAGGCCATGCCTGAATTGGATCTAGATGGAATAAAATACAAACCAGAATGCAAAGTACACTTGTAAATTCAGGCTTTTTAGTATGTCAAAATAACAACTAAGCCACACCTACTGGTAAAGAATGCAAAAAAAAAACAAAAAAAAAAACCTGGTTATTTCACTTGATGCTCTAAAAAGCCACGTTTGAGAAGCAGAGCCATGAAAATCAAGAAACTAATAGGCAGAAAAGAAAGAAGGTACAAGATACAACAAATGGAAAGAAAAAAACCCACCAAAATAAGCTGGTCTAGTGATCATGGCTCAGAAAGCAGAAAGGTAAAACTGCTATCAGAAGAAAGTGGCAGACATTTAAAGTTCAGAGTTTCTAAAACACAGAGAAGAGTTTATTTGATGGAAACAACAAACTATTAGCAATAATGCAGCAATGTCAGTTTCTCAACAGAAATCGTGAGTTCAATTTTTACAGCTTTTTACAAAGCTTGTCTTTTCAGGTTTGGTTGCAATTGATTTTATATTTATTTTAAGTATAGGAAATACAAATGCCAACATGAAAAACACCAGCCAACTTTTGTCACACAAATTATAACTATATACACTTATCTCACAACCACCTTCACTCAAGTACTGCTCAGGTAGAAACTAAAGTCAGTAATAGTTTTCTAGCAAGAACCAAATAAATTTCTCAAGTCCTTCACAGCAGCAAAAAGGTTCAGCCTTACAATGACAGCAAGAATCCAAGATTAGTTTGGGAAAGGAATCAATGACAACAGCTATTGGTGCATGCATTTGTGGGGGCATGTAAAGAGAATTAGCTCTAAAGAGGCTGTTGTTCTTCCCACCTCCAAAATAATACTTTGCACTTCAAGAGGTAAACTGCCCACACAATTGTCAGTTCTGGATGAAGACGGAGAAGAATGAATTACTGAAGAGCAACATCGGGGTGCTCAAGAAAGGAACACCAATGAGAAGAAACTGGTCCTTTCTTGGTCTTGAGAAAAATAAAGACTCAAACAACCTTGGATTACAGCTCTGATATATGGAAATCAAGATACTAAAAAGAACAGAAGAGAGAATGTCTTGTAACAGTGAGTACACCTACTGGATATAAGAGGCCTGAACTACTACACCACATCGCGCTTCAAGCTAAAACCAAATGGATTGGGGTACCTTGGGGTAGGGGGGAATGAAACCTGGCCCTGAAGTAACAGAGCTGGTATACATCCGTGTAAAACTGAACTACAATAGAACAAGTGGTACTTCCAGTTCTTGACAGAGAATCTAAAAAGAAGTTTTCAGAAATGTTGCTGTTTTTTCTGATTTGTAGATAGCAGAAAAACCATGAAGAAGTGTTAATTCTACTGTATAAAGATCCCCTTATCTCCTAGCCTACTCTTTTTTTTTTTTTTCCCATGGACAAGTATGAGTCAAGCTTCTTGCCAGTCAACACCCACTCTCCAGTCAGAGGAATATCAGAAGCTGTATCTGCTGTAAGATGATTTCCTAGCATTTTATCTATAGACGAACCCATTCCTTCATACATCCTACCAACATCAGTCTCACCCCTTCCATCTCTCGTTTTCACTATGCTGTTTTGCAAGATCCAGCTATAGTCCATCTCAGTATCATGCCATATTCACTCCTATCTATTTTTAAAAGCAGTAATTCAAAGCTATTGAATATGTGGCACTATTTGTGCCAAAATGGCTCATTATTTTATCCTTCAAACTATGAAAGAAATATATGTGTGTGTGTGTACATATATATTTGTATTTAATCCCACACAAAATCCTGTTGACTAAAACGGGATTGGATAAAAATGAGTCTTTGCAAGAACAGGCCCTTTAACCATGAAGTTTTCTGTTGGGTTACATCTGCCTCTTTTTAACACCAAGAATATTATCAGTACGTAACGTACTATCAATACATTACTTTCACCCCAATGCATGGTGGGGTTTTTTTGGGTGGTGGTTTTTTTGGTGTTTTGGTTTTTTTTTGTTTTTTTTTTACACCTCAAATTACTTCAGGGAGAACAAACAACATACCTCCAGCTGTTTGCTAGCTTCTTCATTTCTCAGTATCAGGGATAACTTGGTACGAAGACTTCGAAAGTGCATATCAATCAGCATATTTGCCCGCTTCGTTGTTACATCATTGATTGACTAAATTATTAATGAAGAAAACACAGGTGTTTTCACATGAACTTTTTAAACAAACCACGGCCAACAGTATGGTTAGACGTGCACTTACCAAAATAATAAGCTGGTGGTTTTCAGAATCATACGTTACAGAAAAAGCTCCAACTGCCTTTTTGAAGTCCTTATGTGCAGATTCTTTGGCACACCTAGGAATAAAAATGCTACAGAGTTAAAAATTGTAACTGCTGCATTTATGGTTCACAGCCAAAAAGATTAATTTCTTAATACAAAGGATCTAAATAAATATATCCAAGTTCTCCCTTTTAATGCAGGTGTTATTTTATTCTGTAATCATAATTTATTTTGCTCATTTTTCTTTAATTTGTTTTCACAAGTAGGATTAGAAATATTTCAGAAATTTTCTGTATGTACATCTATGAAATGACAAACTACATTAAAAAGCTGTAGTTGTTACAATCAGCAAGTCCAAAATTTCAAACACACCATGAACCAGTATGATGTGTGACTTCACTGTAACCACCACACCATTCTAATGACCTTATGCTCATCTTATACTGCATTTTGCTTCTCCAGGCTCCTTTTGTCCACTCATTACTTAGTGAACTTGTGTACTGTAACATTAACTTCAGAAATTCTTACGTTTAACATGAATGTATAGTTTATTCCACACTGAGGCAACAACATGTATCTCAAAAAAGCAGAAAGTGATCTGAAGCTAAAAAAGGGGAGTCAGTGTTAATCAAGAGTTTTAGAGCTATATTTACATGAGAAAAACATGTCCACATTCTAGGAGAAAACTAGCTGTTTCCATATCCTACTATGGGAGGTTTGACTATTGCACAACTATTCCAACAGCCATCATCAAAATGCCTTATGCCCTAAAATATTAAGCAGCATTTTCTTCCGTCATTAAATATTAACTTGCATAGATTGTCAGATACTCTATCAATTAAAAAGTGACCACTTGAAAATTATCAATTAAGTTGGCAAAGAACGAATTCAGATTAATCTATGCACATCACTAAACAGCTCCAAGAATAAAATCTTAATCTATACTTGCACACAAACTTTAAAACCTTGAAGAAAGTATTTCCTCTGCTAGAGCTAAACTGCATTTCAGAAAAAATCATCTTTTCTGCTTCTGAAGTATGAGCACATCAACATTTGTATTTTCTACATTCTTATATGAAAATTTTAAAAGTTAATTTAGAGCAGTAAAAAGCATTTTTATTCCTTCTTGTCTCAGGCTCAAGAAATTACCCACATTTTGAAACAAGTTATAAAGAAACACTTGTACTTACATTTGCCTTAAATCTTCCGGAACTGCCAGTTTGATTTTATGAAAAGTATCTTTTGTTGCAGGTTTATTGGGGTTCACAGATCTCAAACGCTCAATTGTGACAATTTCATTGTAGGTAGCATCACAGGCTGCATATTCTATTACGTAGAACTGATATACAAATAATAAAATCATCCAAGCCACACATTTTATGACAAGACTGAGCATTACACTATTAAGTGAAAGGCATTTTTGTTAACTGTACAAGCCAAATTTGAACTTTTCATATTGAGGTTAATGGTAATTGCAACAGTCCTAATCAAGAAAATCTTTGAAAAATGAAGAGGCACAAGTTAAAATCATTGTGCACATCAATATAAAAAAACAACATAAGAAAAATAAACTATAAATAAATATAAAATATATATATGTATATATGCATATTCCTACCTCACCCTTTATCATTCTCACTTTAGCCAACCACCAACAGCAGGGTTCTTTTTCATTTGCCCTGGAATAAACCTAAACAAAATACATAAATTATGTATCTGTAGCGTTCTTAAAAGTCACCACAGAAGCTGACACTAACTACTATGATCAGAAACTCTGCTATAGGAACAAAATCCAGCAAAACATATTGGTACATGAAGTCTCTAATCTAAGCACTACCTAGAAAGCATGTAACAGCTGAAATGTCTATTGCAAAAACAGGTAGGATATAAAATTATGTTTGTAAGATTGTACAGATAAATAATATTGTACCCAATCTACTGGCGTTAGTTGCTTCAGTCTTACAGCCAGAAGAGAGAGAATTCAGCCTTTTACATTTGTTAATATTTAATCAATAATATTTCTAATTGTGAGTAGGTCTGATGAGGTCCTCCCAGTAGGTGGAAGGGAGAAGACATGTATCTACACTTTTTTAGCACATATATGATATTGGCCACATCCACACCAAAGAAGTTTTGCCATTTTCTTATCTTTCAAATCAAAATAAACTTAAATAGCATGCAAGCAAAATGTAAATCTTGAAAGTTCTCTTTTTAAAAAGTAATTATAAAAACAATTTTATCTTTTTATAAAATAAGAAAGTTTTAGGAATGTGTTATATTAAAGCCAGTCTCTCTACATACACGTAAATATTTACATATACACATATTTTTGTATTTTATGTACACACACACAATGCAAATTATGTCATTCAGCTTGATGTTTTGGTAATATAGACATTATTAACTTACAGCTGAAGAACCACAGTCCAGCATCTATTTCTAGATTAATTCAGTTCTGATAAAGAACTGATCTGTAATCAAAGAAACATTGATCATGTTTGTAAATCAGCATGGAAGTCATGGTACATGGGATTCCAAAATAGCCATATGGCTTACAACTGTCAAAATCTCTTTCTGATGACATGCTTGACATTGTGTTTCATGTAGTACTTGGCATCAAAAAAGGTGACAGCACATAACATGGAAGCAAGCCTTCCATTGGCTTGGCTGATATTTTCCACCCTGAGTTCTCTCACTTCTCAAATCAAATGTTGTTAATGAAGCATACATACCTCTACTTCATCGCTTTCATTTATATCTTTATTATAGCCTGCAGGTGGTGGAAATCTCACATCATGGAATGGTATTTGTCTCTCTGGTTGCCAGCTAGAAATAAAAAGTACAGTGAATGGCCTGAACATTTTCACCTTCTTTGTGAATAGAAATCAGAAACATTTTCAATCCGTTAATTTTACATTTTTAAATTTCATTAAGCTTTTGTGCATATATGTGTTAAAGGTAATGCAATCCAACGTATATAAGAAACACACCTAAGTGACCATTAAGCCTCTTAAATGAATCCCTGATGCTACCTGCACTGTTTTGAAATCTTCCAGCAGCAGTTTTTACTCTATTTATTTATCTATAGGTTTTAACGGCAACATTAGAAATACAGGTTAAAAAATGTTACATAACACATTTGGACACTTCCTTCAAACCAAGCCCGTTTCTTCTTTTTCTTTGGTTCTACTACAGATTATGAAAACTTCATCAGGATTCAGTCTGAAGAGAGGTTTAATTTTCAGCTTCTTTAACAGAGACAGGATAAAACGAGCATGACAAGAAAAAATAATTTTTAAAGAAACTAGAAAACAACTTCCAAAATACAACACATGATGCCATAAACAAGAAGTCACAGGAAAATGTGTATAGCAGCGTGTTATTTCCTTCCTGAAGGAAATGAAACCTAAACTAGATGCATAATGGAAGGTTAACTTTTTGTGCCTTTAAATGATGGGAAAGGAACATAATTTCATTTCTAGCTTAGAAAACTAGTATTCTAGTATTTATCACCTATTTATAAAAACAAATCTTGTAATAATGTAATCTGCTAAATCTAAAATAAGACATTCACATGAGAAGGAGGCAGTTGTGGTACCACTGCTAACTTATTCAAACATGGGTTGTCCCCACAAACCCAGTAACGTGCTTATCTTCCCCACAAACCCCATGTTACTATAGTTTTTACTTAAGAATATTTAAACAATTAAAAGCATTTATCCAGAAATGTCACAACATAGTAAATATCAAACATAATTCTAAAACATGCTAACAGCAAGCTGAGTATCTAAAAGATATTAAGTTATATTTAGGTTAATCAAATGCAAGGTTGATACTCTATCATTTAGGTGTAACATCAGCAATACACTTACTTGTTTTCAAACGCAACTGTTATAGAATCTTCATGCACATCCTTTACAAATGCCTGTGTAGAAGAAAAGGTATAATTATGGTCTGCTTAAAATTATTTTTTTAAAATATCCATAAACTTGTACAACGCCTTCCTTTCACAGATATTGATGAAACTCAAAATTTAAGTATGCTTTCAAGTCAGCCTTTTAAAATTTGCAACAGACTTATATAAAATGCATACTGAAAGCTGATAGCCTCCTTGGGTTCATGACTGCCAGAGTACTGATACACAGACAGAACACCGGAGCTATACATGGATTCTCACTACTTTTTAGAAGTAATGGGAGAGGTTACTAACAAATGACAAGATAATCCTGAATAAATACAACTAAAGTTTAAAATGTTTGATTTTATAATCACATTTTGTGTATTTTGACAGATGTAGAAATTAAGCCACATCAGTACTCCTACAGAAAAAATCATGTCTCTTCTCTCTTTTAACTCAAGGTAAGTTTGAAAAATCGCACTTACAAAACTCACCTATAACCATTTCAGAACAGTTTTCCCCTTATTTACTTCATCACGCTTAATTTCTGTAGTGTACAAACTTAAGATAAATGCCCTGCAGCCTTCCTTCATTTTTCTTCTGGGGAACAGAGAGCAGTTGTGCCAAGTCTCTCATGCAACCACAAAGCAGAGTACAGAATTAAGATTCAGAACCAAAATGGCTTTTCCTGCCCTATACTACTCAACTGACTGACCTTTGAACAATTTTCAGCTTTAAACCCAAATGTACCCCCATTTACAGAACAGCAAGATCAATACTTGAAGACTTTGGGATTTACCAATGAAAATATTTTTCATAGCCTCAAATGATGGAGGTCATGGGGCAACCAGGGATGAAAAGATTGGTGGGTTTTTTTATGTCTGTTTCTTTTTAAAAAATATCTCTACAAACTTCTGAAACAAATAAAAATTGGTGAAGTGCTGAGTATTCCACTAATATTTGTCCATATATAGTATATCCTTGCAAGACAGGTAGATAAAAGCCCACGAGCAATATTGTACAAAAGTTCGTTCTACCAATGGAGATCTATCTTAGTAGATAGAAAGATTCTCAGTAAATAGGAAGTAATTCAACAGTAACTACCGCTTCTGAAGAAGAGCTAATGAACTGTGGAACATTTTACTCTCCTCGCATTTCAAGCTTCCAAGACAAGAACAGCTCTTATCTCTTACAAGAAGGTAAGAGTTTCTTTCTTATAGGAATCTAAATGGTTTTAAAAAATTCTTCTGATATTTTTCCTTTATAAAGTATTCCCTGAGTTGCAGCAGCATCTCAGTATCAAACAAGAACAATACCTGATAACTCATACAAAGCTCCAAGAACTGGTTATACTAAAATTAAGCAGTACATCTGCTCAAGTGCCATTGTACTCGGAGACATTCAGTACAAGAAAGAAGTGCAGTGCTAGTTAATAATCTGAAAATAACTATTGCCACCTTGAATACAAGTCAAAGCAAAGCCACAATGGCAATAGCAAAAAATGGTTTTATACCTTGCTCACCTCTCAATACTATAAGAATAAGGCTACTGGAAAGTTTATTATTGCTAGATTTAAAACAGTCTCTATTTCAAGATCCCAAGATATTCCTTCCAAGGGACCAAGATATTCCTTCCAAGGGTTTACAAGCATAGTTGATATTTTCCAATGACATGATACAAAACAGATTTAAGACCACATCTCAGAATCATGTTGATAGTAGTACAGAAATGCTATTTACATAAAGAAGCAACAGAACTCCCAGTTGATCGTTACACATACTGAACTTCTATCTAATGTTTCATATTGCTGTGTCTTCTGTAAGAAAGTTCCAGAACTGGATATGCACCTGACAAATACTATGGTAGTCCTGACTCATTTGGCAACATTATACACAACACCTTCAAAGGCTCCGCCCGCATTTCTTCCAATGTTTGCCATGTGCAGCTTTGAAGCGCCTATTCTTATAGACGTAGCAGAAATGGATGCCTTTAATATCTGAAAAATACTGTAATCACTACCAAGTATTTGGTATGAGTCCTTCACACCACAAACTGGAAAACGATAGGACTTAGTGTTATTAGTAACACTTGAATATACAAAAGCAGATATTATTTTATAAAGCAAATCCAACAGAAATGACACCAAGAACACTTAATAGCCTTGAGGAAAACAGGTAAGAGTAACACAAGACGATGCCCTAAGAAAGACTTCATTGATACTTTATTTTCTCACATTGATAAAGTAGCAAAAAACCACCTCTCCTGTTATGAAAGACACTTTTGCAGAAGTTGTCACCCCCTCTATGGTGACAAAACACCAAAAGATCCTCTAAATAGCACTCTGCACAGAAATTACAGAAAAATACACAAGACGGCAGCAAAGTGCAAGACTACATCTCATATTCAGATCTGATAGCTCATAACCAAGTCATCTTGATTAGAATCCTAGTGACTACAGCAATGCGTGTAACTAGTGGCAATAATGCTAGAACCTAACATTAATAAGTAAACCTGATGGTAATACAAATAAATGTAAGTTCAAGTTGAAGACTAGCCTAAGACCTTTAAGCAGTCTAGTATTTATGTTACCTGGAAAGAGTAAAACTTGGGGCACACAGCTATTTGAAAGAATATGGAACTAAGGCCAATTCTTGTCTTTGATTTGCATCACATCCTAATTTAAAGGCTGACAATCTAGTACAGGGCATGGAGTGCTCTTGTCATTGTTACTGTGTCTGCCACCTTAGAAAAGAGCAATGAACCTCATTAGGCTGAAAATTATTCCAACAATGTGCTAAGGTTTTCAAGTCAATTACTTTAGGGTCTTACTGCTTTCCAGTTACTACAAAAGCTCTCCTTAAACAGGTCTTCAACACTGCTTTGGTCACAGCCCAAGAAGCTTGAAGGAACCTGAACCAGGAACATTAAGGATAACTGCTGGACCATACACAGATAGCACCAATACAGACATTGCTAGTGAAAATTGTAATACTGTCATAATGTCTTTAGTTTATACCAAGTTCAGAAGACTCAACCACAGAAACAGATGGAATACCTGGTTTTCACTTCAGCCTGGCCAAAAAAGTCTATGTCGTAACACTGTTGTTTGCCTTTTAATTTCCAACTTTGCAAAATTACAAAAATTCATTGTAATTAATTTTTAATTAATTACAAAGTGAATGCCTTGCCAAATACTGCATTTCAACTGTGTAGTATCTACAACACTTCTACCAACTTCGATGTGAAATTTATTCTTAAAAGACAATTAACCAGACAAAATATATTAATAGCCTCAATATTTGGTTGTCTAATCGCATCAACCCATAGAAAGGTGTTTTCCTTGTTCTTCAGTTTCTTGTGACATCGAAAATGTCAGATAATTGACCACATCAGTTTTTCATAGTCTGTATCACAGCATTACGTCAGTTTTGCTCCAGTACAAATATTTAAACAGATCTGTAGTAAGAAAGATGTTTTTTGACTTTATAGCACTATGTATTTGTACATTTCTAAATATAAATAGAAATGTTTCAAAACATTTCTAAGGTTTTGTAAAAAAAAAAAAGATTTAACCACTGATGCCTTTGGAAAACCAGAATTAAAGCTTATCAGAACTGCCTGGCTGTCTTTATTCTCTGATATGTGTAAAATTATATACAATGCTAAAAAGAAATGAGACCTTTAACACCATAAGCCAAATTCACAGACACAGGACAAGCCAGCCCCAGATGTCGGTAAAGGCAGGGAAGAGGTACTGATTTCACATAAAGTATTAAGAGAAGTACAGTAAGCATTCATCAGTCTTTTTTTGAAATAGTATAAATTTGGCATAAAAATTCAAACATAAAGGGACATGTATGCGAGTTTGAAACGCACACCCAAGAAGGGACAGAACCCTGGCTATGATGAATGTGAACACATAGATGAAAAGCATTAAAAACATAGTGAAACTAGATAGAAGTAAAATGAGGGAACAGGACAGCACAAGACTACAGCAGCTGGGAAATCACTATCACTAATAGCAGAGAAACCAAATAAGAGTATACAAAAAAATTTGGAATCGGTGAAAGAGGTTTGCTTTTACTTCCGTGAACAGAAGCACATTTTACAATGGCTAAGGTTGATTCTTCTTCTCTAATGTAGGGGAAAAAAATTAAATGTGGTTAAGTTTTCTACCCTAAATTTGACTTTCAGTCACATAAACCATTGATTCCCTCCATGCTTCAGACATAATTAAGTAAAAAAGCTTACAACCCAATATTGACATGTCACGACATTTCTCAAACGCGAGAATCCACATTCTCAGATGGGCTTTATGCTGAAGATGGCCCAAGTTTTACAAATTATTTGATACAAAATAAGAATTATTAGAAACACCAGTACATTTCTTATTTTTTTGCTAAATAGAATGACAGACTTTTCAAAGGAACAAATAAAGACTCCAGCTGCCATGAAGTTTTGTTGCTTTTTTAAAAGTCTGCTCACATCATCAGATGTGAGCATTGTCAACCATTTTAATAAAGGAGGATAATTAACTGTAAGGTGTGAAAGTAAGGAAAATACGCTTTTTAAGATAAAAAATGCTATGCTGATACAAATGTGCATCTACTGTTTGCGTAACAGTTCTGTAACATTTCATACCTCTTGGAAGGAGAAAGTCAAAAGGGAAGTCATACAGCTAATCAAATCTGAGAAAGATAGGCCATAAAAAGAAACGGAAGAGGGAAAGAAGAATCGTCACACAAGTGGTAACCAAACAAGGGAAAAGGGTACAGGCTATCATCCTCAGAAGGACTGAGTGGACAGGCTTATGAATGTACAAAGAGACTGGAGATATTTGCTGAGGGTATGTCTGCGTGGAACAGTGAAAGAAAAGAAAAAATTGATACGGAATGCAACAGGAGGCCAAGGGAACAGTTGTTAATAGTGAGACCTGAAGTAATAAAGAACTAAGAAAGCTTTTGTCAACTGTAGTTTCAATATAAAAATGTGAATATCTGTAAAACCAAGGAAACAATGGCAAACTGCTGAGATAAAAAGCAGAAGAT